CCCACGGGGAGTGACGCCTCTCTATGCCTCGTCTACCGCCCTTCTTGTACTTGTGATATAATTGTAATAATTCTTTTTTTCTATATTACACTTGTTGACCTCCCTTACAGGGTATTTCCTTGTATTTCTTTAATTCCCTTACCTGTCTAGCTCGTCCCAGCTTTATTTTCTATGGTTGTAAGATGCGTTCCCTTAACTTATTCTCATAGCCGAACCCTCTGAGCCTTGACACTAATCTTGTTGCAAGCTCATGATAGTGTAACAGCCAACGAGCACAAGAGAGTGAATGACGCTGCTGAAACACGAGCTCCTCGCAAGTTCAGGGCTGCTAACTCTCCCTGTGTGAGATGAATGGCCCGGAGAAATATTTTGTAGTCACTATAGATGTGGTAAGAAAATTACCTGGAATATTACGGGTTATTCATGCCCGTGCCACCTCTTGGGTGGCATAATCTTCATCAATCAATGACCTGATCACCTGGTTACAGTCTAGTGTCACCGGCAAGTATTCCGTGTAATGTGTTGGAGAAAGTAATCAGCTTAAGAATGATGAACACCTGAAGATGCACAACTGATAATGAATGTAAAAATAGAGGACGACTGCTGAAAGTTACTCGAGAACCTTGATTAAACACCAGGAGTAGGTAAACAAATGGTTGCTGGAATTAAATCCCAACACGTGTAAGGTAATGAGGATGAGAGGAGACTAGGTGATAACTACACCGTTAAGACAAATAAATTAGGGCTCTTTCAGGGCTATCTACACAACATGTGTTAAACTAACACTACAATATAACACCGGCATACAATTTGCACCTTATCAAGCATAAAATTAAATTAAAAAAAAGCACAGAGCTATTGAGATAAGCTATTAGGACAAAGGGATATGATCACAACATTCAAGATACTGAGGGGAATAGGCCAGATGGACAAAAACAGCCTCTTTAAGATGAGTCAGAGACATGTAAGGAAACACTTGTAGCCTGAACAGGTTGTCAACAGGTGAGACGCACTGAAGGAAGTTGTGGAAGCCTCCTCCAGACACAACTCCAACAAATTCAAACGTCAGAAAAGTTGTATTATAAAGCCACAGGTACATAAAGCCTACTGGACCAGGCATAAAGAGTTTGCCGTCACTTAATCGTACACGCTGATAGGTAAGTCCTAATATGCAAGTTCCTGGGGCCAGATTCACGAAGCAGTTACGCAAGCACTTACGAACGGGTAAATTTTTCAATCTTTGACGGCTTTGGTTACATTTATTAAACAGTTTACAAGCATGAAAACTTGCCAATCAACTGTTGTTATTGTTATAAACAGCCTCCTGGTGCTTCGGAGCTCATTAACTGTTTAATAATTGTAAACAAAGTCGCCAAAGATTGAGGAAAGATGGACAGGTTCGTAAGTGCTTGCGTAACTACTTCGTGAATCTAGCCCCTAGTTTTGAGTACCGGGTGTGGAGCAACAGGTATAGAGCACCGGGTATGGAGCACCAGGTATGGAGCACCAGGTATGGAGCACCAGGTATGGAGCACCAGGTGTGAAGCACCGGGTATGGAGCACCAGGTATGGAGCACCAGGTATGGAGCACCGGGTATGGAGCACCAGGTATGGAGCACCAGGTATGGAGCACCGGGTATGGAGCACCAGGTATGGAGCACCAGGTATGGAGCACCAGGTATGGAGCACCGGGTATGGAGCACCGGGTATGGAGCACCAGGTATGGAGCACCGGGTATGGAGCACCAGGTATGGAGCACCGGGTATGGAGCACCGGGTATGGAGCACCGGGTATGGAGCACCGGGTATGGAGCACCAGGTATGGAGCACCGGGTATGGAGCACCAGGTATGGAGCACCAGGTATGGAGCACCAGGTATGGAGCACCGGGTATGGAGCACCAGGTATGGAGCACCAGGTATGGAGCACCAGGTGTGGAGCACCAGGTATGGAGCACCGAGTGAGCCAAAACAAACAAAACCTAGTCAAATATATCCTACTGCTGCCGATAGCCACAATACCATCCATTAGCCTGTGAGACAGTGTGTTTACCATTATAATAAGAGCGAAAAGATGCAGCGCCTTCGCTGCTCGTGGGGCCTCCTCGCCCCACCAAGATATATTGGATGACTTGACGCTAATGTCAATTCGTCAATATCCCAGCATCACCTTCAGGGATGCTGGGGCCGGGAGATGAGTGGGGATGGAATAGGTAGGGATGCTGTGTGGAAGAGGGGGGAGGGAGGGAGGGAGGGGTGAGTGTAGGAGAAGGAGGAGGTAACAGGAAGTGATGTGAGAAGGTTATATTCTCTTTGTAATGCTTAAGAAAGGGTTGAGCTTCGGTTCTAGGGTCCCGCTTCTCAACCTTCATTCGACCTCTTTACAGGGTTGCCAGTCTTTTGTGATCTGTCATATCTAGATTCGATGCTGCGTGTCCATATTACTCACAATAAGTCTATATTACTCACAATGTGACCATATTACTCACAATAAGTCTATATTACTCACAATGTGTCCATATTACTCACAATGTGTCCATATTACTCACAATGTGTCTATATTACTCACAATGTGTCCATATTACTCACAATGTGTCCATATTACTCACAATAAGTCTATATTACTCACAATGTGTCCATATTACTCACAATGTGTCCATATTACTCACAATGTGTCTATATTACTCACAATGTGTCCATATTACTCACAATGTGTCTATATTACTCACAATGTGTCCATATTACTCACAATGTGACCATATTACTCACAATAAGTCTATATTACTCACAATGTGTCCATATTACTCACAATGTGTCCATATTACTCACAATGTGTCCGTATGAGAGTGTCATGTAAGGCTAAGGGTGGTTAATGATACACATCAACACTGCAAGACGTGAATGTATGATAATACGTTAATTATGTTTACGTTGCAATATTGCTATTTATTAGTCTCCCATAAATGTATAAAGTTGTACAAATGATGCGGCAATAAATACCAGTGTTAATTGTTGCAGTATTTTGCTGTAAAGCTAATTCAACTAGAAATAAAAGTTGTATTAATTGAATGGTTGTTTAAGAATTTAAACAAAACTCAATAAAAGCAATTACTACATTTTTTCCATTTTGTCATGTTTATATGTGTGAAGTAACTTACAATGTTAATTGCTTCATTGTACTACCATGGGTGTCATAGTACAGCGGGCTTCGTTCTCCACCTATCATCAGTGATCATGGTTCGTTTCTCAGGTAGGACAAATGGTTGGGCACATTTCCTTTCTCTTTATGCCTTTGCTCGTCCAGCAGTCAACAGGTACCCGGGCGTTACCTATTTACGGTACCTATAATAGGTACCTCGGGGGGGGGACCATAATTGTTTATATCATATACACAGGCTTTCTGTCCCCGATAAAACGAAAACAAAAGCAAGAATCAATGTGTATAAGAGAGAATATCTTTGTGTGCGCGTTCGAGGGTGCACGTCAAAAGGTTTCGGTTAGCCTCAAGCGACTTTCCATGGTGACTTGTGAGTATGGAGAGTATGGTAGCGTGGTAAGGTTCGAACCCCAAGCATATCTTTAAGTACGGTTGGGCTATATTGCAACAACCATTGACACCTTTGAAGCCTATAATGTGGGGATGATTGTTGATAGAGTGTTACCGATAGATTTAACAGCTGTTATATCTATTAGTGAGTTGGTTTAGGCTAGCTCCTAGCATCTGGCCTCTGTGGACTGACAGACAGACATTTTCTTATATACTCTATAGAAGGGGGTACCCGGTGGTACCCAGGATAGTCAGCCTCTCCCCTCCCCCCCCCCTAGCCTAATGGGGGTGGATAATGAAAAAGCCTATGTCCGTCCCGTACCCCAGATCATTCACCCGTCAAAGTTGGGTGAGGCTAGTCCTAGTCAGCTGGTCTCTAACCTTGTACAGACGGACACATAAATATTTTCTCATTTATATAGACTCGATGGACGTGGCCGGCGGTGCCCGGGTCTCTCTGTTTGGCTGTCCTTCCCATTTCCCCATTCTCCCCCTCCCTCGTATTCTCCCTAACATCCATGTACCCATCTATCCATCCATCTATTCATCTATCCCACCTTCTACTCATCTACCCCGTCCATCTATCCATTTATCCATCTACCTGTTCATATATGTATCCATCTATTAGTCAGACCATACCTCCATCCAGCTTTTCATGCATCTATCCATTCATTTATCTGCTCTCTGTCTTTATGTCTATTTTTCTCTCCTTGTGTTTGCGTCTCTGTGCGTCTCTCTGTGGCTGTCTGTCTGTCTCGGTCTCTGTCACACTCTTATAAACAATAGTGTAATGTGTGGGTGGTGGCCACTGAGAGGAGCTCAGTGGTGTGAAATACTAAACAAATAATAGTTCCCTCTGACTTTGATAATGAGCCTCTGTATTATGCCAATACGGGCAAATTATGCACAGCAAGAAATTTATGTTAATTTTCGAAAATTAGTTAATAATGGCGCATATTACTATAAGAAAAGAAATAGTTTTGTAATGTTTGTGTTGACATAATTTAACTGTGGCCGGCGGGACAGGGCTAAAAATCGTTGTGGGGGTGTAAATGTGACCCTGGCATGGTGTTCCCTTTTGAATTCCGGCGACCCTGACCAGCCTATGTTCACCCCGAACCCCAGACCATTCCCTCTGCCAATTTTGGTAAAGTTAAGTCCAAGCGCCTGGCCCGCATCGTTGCTCAAACACTGACATACAGACAGTCTTTCAGAAATATTAGGTTGGCCCTAATATTACTTAACCATAATATTATTTAATTAACACAAAGTTATATAAAAGTTAAAATATAAAAAAGTAACAAAATTAATAAAAAAATTAGTTTTATTTTTTTAAATTCATGTATTATTATTAATTTGTTATATTTTTCATTTTAATGTTTATATATGATTGTGTTATTATTAGTACCATCATATACCAAACTTTGTGTAATGCAACAGTCATTTCCTCCAACAGTTGGTCACGTGACGGTGTGAGCGGGGAGCTGGGCACTGTGGGTGCCAGCATGGGCGTGAGCGGTGGGCGGGTGTGGGTGCGGGGTGCAGTGGCGGGCGGGGCGCGGGCGGGGCCAGCCGACGCGGGCGGCTACACCTGCGTGGCGGCCAACGGGGCGGGCACCGACACCGCCCACTTCACCCTCACCGTTCTCCAGGAGCTCCAGGTCACCGCCCACCCCCCGCTCCAGGTCAGTCTGCTCCCTCCTCTCACTCCTCTCTAGCTCTCACTCTCAGTAGGGCCGCTGAGGCACGTGCTGAGGCAGGTGGGGCCGCTGTAGCACGGGCTGAGGCAGGTGGGGCCGCTGTGGCACGTGGTGAGGCAGGTGGGGCCGCTGTAGCACGTGCTGAGGCAGGTGGGGCCGCTGTAGCACGTGCTGAGGCAGGTGGGGCCGCTGTAGCACGGGCTGAGGCAGGTGGGGCCGCTGTAGCACGGGCTGAGGCAGGTGGGGCCGCTGTAGTACGGGCTGAGGCAGGTGGGGCCGCTGTAGCACGGGCTGAGGCAGGTGGGGCCGCTGTAGCACGGGCTGAGGCAGGTGGGGCCGCTGTAGCACGGGCTGAGGCAGGTGGGGCCGCTGTAGCACGGGCTGAGGCAGGTGGGGCCGCTGTAGCACGGGCTGAGGCAGGTGGGGCCGCTGTAGCACGGGCTGAGGCAGGTGGGGCCGCTGTAGCACGGGCTGAGGCAGGTGGGGCCGCTGTAGCACGGGCTGAGGCAGGTGGGGCCGCTGTAGCACGGGCTGAGGCAGGTGGGGCCGCTGTAGCACGAGCTGAGACAGGTGGGGCCGCTGTGGCACGAGCTGAGACAGGTGGGGCCGCTGTGGCACGAGCTGAGCCAGGTGGGGCCGCTGTGGCACGCGCTGAGCCAGGTGGGGCCGCTGTGGCACGTGGTGAGGCAGGTGGGGCCGCTGTGGCACGAGCTGAGACAGGTGGGGCCGCTGTGGCACGAGCTGAGACAGGTGGGGCCGCTGTGGCACGAGCTGAGACAGGTGGGGCCGCTGTGGCACGTGGTGAGGCAGGTGGGGCCGCTGTAGCACGGGCTGAGACAGGTGGGGCCGCTGTAGCACGGGCTGAGACAGGTGGGGCCGCTGTGGCACGAGCTGAGACAGGTGGGGCCGCTGTGGCACGAGCTGAGACAGGTGGGGCCGCTGTGGCACGTGGTGAGGCAGGTGGGGCCGCTGTGGCACGAGCTGAGACAGGTGGGGCCGCTGTGGCACGAGCTGAGACAGGTGGGGCCGCTGTGGCACGAGCTGAGACAGGTGGGGCCGCTGTGGCACGTGCTGAGGCAGGTGGGGCCGCTGTAGCACGGGCTGAGACAGGTGGGGCCGCTGTAGCACGGGCTGAGACAGGTGGGGCCGCTGTGGCACAAGCTGAGACAGGTGGGGCCGCTGTGGCACGAGCTGAGACAGGTGGGGCCGCTGTGGCACGAGCTGAGACAGGTGGGGCCGCTGTGGCACGTGGTGAGACAGGTGGGGCCGCTGTGGCACGTGGTGAGACATGTGGGGCCGCTGTGGCACGAGCTGAGACAGGTGGGGCCGCTGTGGCACGAGCTGAGACAGGTGGGGCCGCTGTGGCACGAGCTGAGACAGGTGGGGCCGCTGTGGCACGTGGTGAGACAGGTGGGGCCGCTGTGGCACGTGGTGAGACATGTGGGGCCGCTGTGGCACGAGCTGAGACAGGTGGGGCCGCTGTGGCACGAGCTGAGACAGGTGGGGCCGCTGTGGCACGTGGTGAGACAGGTGGGGCCGCTGTGGCACGAGCTGAGACAGGTGGGGCCGCTGTGGCACGTGGTGAGACAGGTGGGGCCGCTGTGGCACGGGCTGAGACAGGTGGGGCCGCTGTGGCACGAGCTGAGACAGGTGGGGCCGCTGTGGCACGTGGTGAGACAGGTGGGGCCGCTGTGGCACGTGGTGAGACATGTGGGGCCGCTGTGGCACGGGCTGAGACAGGTCTTGTATTACCAATTACTCTCCAACCATTACCTCTTCCTCCCTCTGGAGCTCAGCCGATTTTTTCCTCTTTGTTTTTATTAGGTTTAATTACGAGACTGCTGAGTGGGTTTTTTCCTGGCCAGGGATGAGATTAGCCAGGGCGTCAATATTGACTGTGGGACGGCAGGGACTGACTGTCCCATACACGACGGCAGGGACTGACTGTCCCAGACACGACGGCAGGGACTGACTGTCCCAGACACGACGGCAGGGACTGACTGTCCCAGACACGACGGCAGGGGCTGACTGTCCCAGACACGACGGCAGGGGCTGACTGTCCCATACACGACGGCAGGGACTGACTGTCCCAGACACGACGGCAGGGACTGACTGTCCCAGACACGACGGCAGGGACTGACTGTCCCAGACACGACGGCAGGGGCTGACTGTCCCAGACACGACGGCAGGGGCTGACTGTCCCAGACACGACGGCAGGGACTGACTGTCCCATACACGACGGCAGGGACTGACTGTCCCAGACACGACGGCAGGGACTGACTGTCCCAGACACGACGGCAGGGACTGACTGTCCCGGACACGACGGCAGGGACTGACTGTCCCAGACACGACGGCAGGGACTGACTGTCCCAGACACGACGGCAGGGACTGACTGTCCCAGACACGACGGCAGGGACTGACTGTCCCAGACACGACGGCAGGGACTGACTGTCCCAGACACGACGGCAGGGACTGACTGTCCCAGACACGACGGCAGGGACTGACTGTCCCAGACACGACGGCAGGGACTGACTGTCCCATACACGACGGCAGGGACTGACTGTCCCAGACACGACGGCAGGGACTGACTGTCCCAGACACGACGGCAGGGACTGACTGTCCCAGACACGACGGCAGGGACTGACTGTCCCAGATGCGACACACCATGACCGCCAACCAGTCACTGTTAGCCCTCTTACAGGTAACTTTACATTCCTGCTTTTAACCGCCTTTGCATACCTCTTCCCCAGATGGTGCCCGCCGGCAGTCGCGTGACGCTTGGCTGTCAGGTACAAGGTACGCCGGTGTCCGAGGTCCGCTGGTACAGGGACGGTACAGCCCTGCACCCCCACACTCACTCCCACATGGTCCTGCAGGGGCGGGACAGTCTGGCCATCGCTGGTGTGGCAGAAAGGGACTCTGGAATGTACCAATGTGTGGCAGCCAACAGCCTGGGGGAGGCCCAGGCGACCATCCAGCTCTCCATCAGAGGTTAGGATTTTTTGGTTTGCTAAAAAGTATTTATTAATTTTGCAATTTCTAGCGGCTGATTGGGATAATATTGGGCGCGATTGACCTTGGGTTTGTGGTGACTTGGGCTGTAAAAGATATAAAAGTAATACTGTTGTGTGACTAGACGTATACGGCCTCCTTGTTTCATACTGTGACTCAAGCTAAGATTATTTCCTGCCAGCAGTTCAGTCAGTTGGTTCCGGTACATGAGATCATTCAACAGGAATATTGTATTATAGTGGCGTGATGTTTGAAGGTATCATGTTAGCGGGTTTGTGTTTAGATCCCCCTAGTTAATGGTCATATCTTTTTCGCCCCCCCCCACACCAACACGTATATTAATGACCTACACCCACGCTAACACCCACCGCCCACGCTCACACCAACCACCCACATTAACACCCACCACCCGCCCTCCACAGACTCGCCGCCCATCCTCCGCCACACTTTCATTGAGCAAACCCTGCAGCCCGGGCCGCCCGTATCCCTAAAGTGCACGGCGCTGGGCCACCCCGCCCCCGTCGTCACCTGGATGCTGGACGCACGCCCACTCACGCCCTCTGGCGCCCACTACGGCGGTCAGCGAGTGGGCGTAGGCGCCTGGGTGGACGTGGGCGGGCAGGTGGTGAGTCAGGTGAACATTAGCAGCGTGGATCACCTGGACGGAGGCACGTACACCTGCACAGCTATCAACACGGCTGGCAAAGTTCACCACTCAGCCAGACTCAACGTGTACGGTAGGTCGAAATCTTCACGTATAAAACATGTTAATCTTGCAGTCGTACATGGGGTCAGGTGACAGTATTAAGAGGTATTTCAGTGTACCAGGATGGTGTGCTGTCCTCTGTCTCCCATGTTCTCCTCTGTCTACGGACGGCTCGTATTCTTGGCCGTGATGGGAGACTCAGCCACTCAACATTCTCAGTGATGCGAAATCAGGGAACTCATAGGCCACGGAAAGTTAAAGTCCAGCAGCATCACAAGAGGTAAAGAGCGGGACGTGAGAGAAGGTGCTGGTGTTAAACACCTGCCAAACACTGACCAAATAACTGTTATTCTAAGACAGAATTAAACAGATGCTGCCAAAGATGTAATGACATGACATCCTTAGGAATAAATTTAGGTTAAAGGTGTGTCAGAGGAGGTTCCGGATATTAATATATTAAGAAAGTTAAGGAAAAATAACGGACAGGGACGTCTGTTGTGTATGTGTGTATTGGACATTTTGCTGCTAAATGAAACAAAGTTCACTGAAAAGAAGCCATAGGTAATGGGCTCAAGCTCACTTTGACATTTTTTTTTAACTTTAATTCATAGCAGAATTTTGTCGACTTGGATCAGTCACCAAGTTGATGTTTTCATCACAGTTATTAAATCTTTTAAATTAATATTACAGTTAATTAAACTTTCAGCAACATTTGACTAAGGAAAAGGAGTCAAAAACACCTGACAAAACAGTGAGACACAAAGGTAAACTTTCTTCTAAACTAAAGGAAACATTTGTTGATAGTGAGACACAAAGTTGTTGTTATGAGAGGTGATTACTGTGAAGGATAGAAGACTGGCTGGTTATGTTAGCCAGGATAGTACATGACGTCACTGGCTTCATGATAGTAGTGGGGAAGCCGACGTGTGGGGCAGTTTTGTATACAAATGACGCCACATTCTTGTCGGGTCGGTTATACGCGCCTTTTTAATACTTTTACTCTGGTCAGGTTGGTTAGTGACATCAGCACAAGTTGCCACTCTCCTCATAGTGATGCTGGTGAGATCACCACGTGACGTCACTGTCATCATGGTGATCTACGGTGATCAGAACGTGACGGTTGTGTCTTCATGGTGATATATGTGTTCTGCATTCCTGAAAAAATGTTATGAAGCTTGATATTAAGCATTAAACCAAGGGAATGGATGTTATTTTGTGCTTATACTGCCTTAAAGCACTCTCCTGTGCTTGTACTGCCCATGCTGACCTATGAATCAGCGTCTGACCACCTCCGCCCCCTCACACAGGTCCACCCACGACGCGGACCCCTGGTAACGTCAGCGCCGTGGAGGGCACCGAGGCGTCCCTCGTCTGTCCCGTCGCTGGATACCCGCTGGCGACGGTGTCGTGGACGCTGCACGGTCGTCCGCTCACCTCCACGTCGCGTAGGACGCCCCGGGGCGACGGGACGCTGGTGATCCAGAGCGTGGAGGCTGAGCACGACGTAGGCCACTACTCCTGCACAGCCACCGACGCTCAGGGACGCTCAGCCACTGCCACCTTTTTCCTCGCTGTCGTCAGTAAGTTAGAGCTGCGATGCCGCCTCCTGCTGGGGAGGGTTGTGTGGGCACGTGTTGTTGTAATGGCTGGACCCACACACCTGCTGGAGCCACACACGTGCTGGACCCCACACACGTGTTAGACCCACACACGTGCTGGACACACACACGTGCTGGAGCCACACACGTGCTGGAGCAACACACGTGCTGGAGCCAAACACGTGCTGGAGCCACACACGTGCTGGAGCCACACACGTGCTGGAGCCACACACGTGCTTGACCCACACACGTGCTGGAGCAACACACGTGCTGGAGCCACACACGTGCTGGAGCCACACACGTGCTGGAGCAACACACGTGCTGGAGGTACACACGTGCTGGAGCCACACACGTGCTGGAGCCACACACGTGCTGGAGCCACACACGTGCTAGACCCACACACGTACTGGAGCCACACACGTGCTGGAGCCACACACGTGCTAGACCCACACACGTGCTGGAGCCACACACGTGCTAGACCCACACACGTGCTGGAGCCACACACGTGCTGGAGCCACACACGTGCTGGAGCCACACACGTGCTGGAGCCACACACGTGCTAGACCCACACACGTGCTGGAGCCACACACGTGCTGGAGCCACACACGTGCTAGACCCACACACGTGCTGGAGCCACACACGTGCTAGACCCACACACGTGCTGGAGCCACACACGTGCTAGACCCACACACGTGCTGGAGCCACACACGTGCTAGACCCACACACGTGCTGGAGCCACACACGTGCTGGAGCCACACACGTGCTGGAGCCACACACGTGCTGGAGCCACACACGTGCTGGAACCACACACGTACTAGACCCACACACGTGCTGGAGCCACACACGTGCTGGAGCCACACACGTGCTAGACCCACACACGTGCTGGAGCCACACACGTGCTAGACCCACACACGTGCTGGAGCCACACACGTGCTGGAGCCACACACGTGCTGGAGCCACACACGTGCTGGAGCCACACACGTGCTGGAGCCACACACGTGCTAGACCCACACACTTGCTGGAGCCACACACGTGCTGGAGCCAGACACGTGCTGGAGCCACACACGTGCTAGACCCACACACGTGCTGGAGCCACACACGTGCTGGAGCCACACACGTGCTAGACCCACACACTTGCTGGAGCCACACACGTGCTGGAGCCAGACACGTGCTGGAGCCACACACGTGCTAGACCCACACACGTGCTGGAGCCACACACGTGCTGGAGCCAGACACGTGCTGGAGCCACACACGTGCTAGACCCTCACACGTGCTGGAGCCACACACGTGCTAGACCCACACACGTGCTGGAGCCACACACGTGCTAGACCCACACACGTGCTGGAGCCAGACACGTGCTGGAGCCACACACGTGCTGGAGCCACACACGTGCTGGAGCCACACACGTGCTGGAGCCACACACGTGCTGGAGCCACACACGTGCTGGAGCCACACACGTGCTGGAGCCACACAGGTGTTGGAGCCAGACATGCACTGTTGCCAAACAAGTACAGTAGCCAGCTAGCAGCGGATGTATTACTGAACAACAAGTCAGTTACAGGGCTGACCTCATTACTGTTGCAAAATGACCAAACTTTCTGGAAAGTTAAAATATCGTAGTGGTAAGTTTTTGGTCCGTCAGACAAGTGACTGGCGTGTCTGTGCGGCTTGTTAACTCATTTTCATAATTTTAAATATCAGGGCGTCAGGAGGGAGCCTGTTGCTCCTGTCAGCCGTCAGCAGCATCCACGTCAGCTCCTGTCTTTTTTTTTTAATGCTTATGGACAGTCGTGGAGTAGCGAAGGTCATAAGAGCTCCTCCTCTCTGTCCAACTGTCCCGTCTGTCTTTTGGTTTGCCAACCCGTCCGTCTGTCTGTCAATCTGGTCAGGTGACCAGATTGCCATGATGGTGACGAGAGTCGTCGCCATCTTGGCAACACAGTCTAGACTCGAGGAAACGTTTACCTGTGTCTGAACGTCTTAGACGTTGACCAAACGTTGGTTAATATATCCACCAACCTCGTGTGTGTGAATGAAAAGCACATTACAAAGGACTGAGTACACCTGATCTTTTACTGAACAGTGCTTCACATATGTCAAGGAAGATGCCACATATGCATAAGAAAATGCCACATATGTTAATCAAATTCTAAAAAGTAGTGTAAATTAATATGAATTAAATTACATGTAATTTAATTCTGGAATTTAATTCCCTATATGTAAAAGAAAGCTTTGTATAGAAGGATTAAGAAGGAGGGTCAGTCTAGAACAACAATTTATCAAACTAGTTTGAAATGTTAACGAAGAAATTAGAAAAGCCAAAAGAAGGAGGTGTGTGTACCAGGGCAGAGACAAATCCTAAAGGATTTTTTCAGTTATATAAAAGTGCAACCCAGCCTTTGTAGTACTAAGTAGCAGGACTGAGTTTAGATAGTACATTTTGGAACTATGTGGACCATCGTACATACACGTAATAGACAAATTGTAAAATTGTGTTTTATTCACTTTATAGAATCCGAAAAATACAGCTAAACACCAAACTTAAGTATTCCTAAGCCTAGTATAGCACACATTTGTACTATATTAGGCCTCAAATAGTGTGTATCAGGCCTAGGAAGGTTAGATTTTTTGCAACATCAGTACAACAACTTTTCCGGTTTGTCCACATTCAGTAGTTCCTATTTCTACTTTCTAATTGCCTTTTACGTCGATATATGTAGGTTGGTCCACATGGTTACTATAAGTACTGCCTAAACAGGAGGACGGGCGGAAAACAAAGCCTAAGTAAAGGACAGGTTCAGTAACACTGTGATGGGTCAGATAACTGATAATGACAAAGAGATGAGTAGTTAAATAGATATTTAGTTTCTGTTGTAAAGAAGCACTTATCATTATGTCTTCAGCCTAGCAACTGTATAGTGGTAGTTAAGAGGACAGGTTGACCAGGTTAGTGGTTTCCGGGGAGGAAGTTATTAAACAAATAGAACAATTAGAGGCAAATAAGTCGCCAGGGCCAAACGAGGTGTTTGCCAGAGTACTTAAAGAATGTAAGGAAGAGCTCTGCGAGCCACAGTCTTGTTTGTTCAATAAATCACTAGTCAGGCAGAGTACATGAGTCGTGGAGGGATGCTAATGTGGTACCAACTTTTAAAAAAGGAGATAAAACTACTGGCGAATTAGCTTAAAACGCCCGTTGCGGGAAAATTGTTTGAATCGACAATTGCCAACCGCATCCGTCTACTTGTTGGAAAACATAGTTGAATAAATGCTTCACAACTCAGTTTTGCTGATGGTTGAGTACCTTAAGACTTGGGGTAAGGAAGGTGAACTATCACGCAGCAGGAGGGAGAAGGCCGGTAGTGCCAGGAGACTCTAAGACCCTGCTCGTGCTCCAGGTGTTTGTCTAACCTCCTGACACCTCAACCTTCACATCTCAAACTTTCTTTCTCAAACTTGTGCAAATTCTGAGCCGAACATAATGCCGGCAGAGCGGGAGTCGTCGAGGATTCTTTCATTTGTTATTCATACATGTAGAGGGGAGGAGGAGGGGTTGGGGGTGGAGGGGGGGTGAGTGGGGAGACTGCAGAGGAGTTAGAGAGCGCCTGACCCAAGTCAGTCACCTGTGAACCTCTCACACATCTGGCTTCCACCTGCCGCACATTACGTGTTCCATGACTCTCTCTTGATCTGTATATTCTGTCAGAAGTTATTCCTCTCATTTTTTATAAGAAAAATTATTCTAATTTGCATCTTTCATCAATTAACTATAAATTGAACCTGTATCTTAACTCTGTACTTAACTTATAATATTACTGTAGTGAGAAAACTGCTTTGCCTCATGTATAGACAAAATATCCTCGGAATATGTTTTTATTCCAGAAACCCAACCACTTGGACTGGTCGGAACAGCCACGACCTCGCATCTAGCAGGTCGGCGTTCAATCCCCCAACCTGAATGGTTGGGCACCATTCCTTTGCCCCGTCCCATCCCAAATCCTTATCCTGACCCCTTCCCAGTGCTTATAGTCGTAAAAACTTAGCGCTCTCTCCTGATAATCACCTTACCATTTCTTCCAGAATTATATAATAGCTGGATGTTAAGCTTAACATTGTTTGCAGGTAAATGTTTGCTGTCAAGTCCTGTGAAAAGTCTCCAGTGCGCTCCTGTTGAGCTTCATTGTATTATATAACACTTGATAATATATATATATATATATGTGTGCACAAACTCATCGTGTGTGCTTCTTACCGTCAGAGCCGCCGGTGTTGGCAGAACTCAAGTTCCCCGAGGGTCTGGTGGAGGGGATGAGGCTGTCTGTGGCGTGTTCCCTGCTGAGTGGTGACCTGCCCATCAGTCTGAGGTGGTCGAGGGACGGCCGCCCGCTGCCCAGGGACCCCGTGCTCACAGAGACCCACTCACAGTTCTTCTCCAACCTGGTGTTCTCGGACATCCGCGGCAGGCACGCCGGCGAGTACACCTGTACTGCCTCCAATTCCGCCGCCTCCTCCACCGCCTCGGCCACCATGCACGTCATGGGTGAGTTGAACGCCCTTCTCTTACGGGGTCTGGGTGGCTCATGGCGCTGGAGGGCCTCTGTGTTGATGTTATTGTGGGGCTGTTTCCCACTGAATGGTCAGGTCTGGTTCCCACTGAATGGTAGGGTCTGTTTCCCACTGAATGGTAGGGTCTGTTTCCCACTGAATGGTAGGGTCTGTTTCCCACTGAATGGTAGGGTCTGTTTCCCACTGAATGACTGAATGGTAGGGTGTGTTGACTGACTGTGTCACCCCAGGCTCCAACTAGTTACACTAGTTGTAGTGTAACTAGTTCTATTTGTGTAAAGTTTATTGAGTTGTTTAACCTGACTTTTTAGACTGTGTACAAATATAGTGTCTATACAAATTACAGACAGCGTCAGTGTGTTGTGTTGACGATTGTAACAAGCCATTAGTGTCAAGGTAATACACTTAAGACCTTGTTAACAAAGAGACAATTGTTTGAAGTGTGGCCGCTTTTAGACGAGCAAGATTCTCATTACCGAGAAAATCAATTGTAGCACTAAGGTGGCTCGACCCAGCGACCAGGATACTCTCAGTCGCGCTCCTTACCCCTGTAAGGTGAGTTATAGGGGTAAAGTGACCTTAACCTTACCCCTGTAAGGTGAGTTACAGGGGAGAGGTGACCCCTTAACCTTACCCTTATAAGGTTGTTTTCAGGGGTAAGGTGACCTTAACTCTACCCGTTGTGAATTGGTATAAGTTATACAATCTGGGATTCCACTGCATCCACAGGAAGTCTGGAGGCTTCACCGAAGCCAGTCTAAGCCAGTCTAAGCTTTACATATAACCCTTATGAACTGTGGTGTAGGTATAGTAGGTGATCAACCCTACACTCCGGCTTGTGTCTCTGAAGCTGCAGGGTGGGGGTTAAGGCCCTACTTGACCTTCCCCACAGTGCTTGTGGGTCACACGTAAACACTTGAACTGGCTTCAGTGACGCCTCCACACTTCCTGTGGTTCCAGTGGATTACCAGGTGGTATAACTTACAGCATGTCATGGTGCAGGGGGTAAGGTGCGCGGCTGGGTGTCATCTCATTGCTCCAATTGATTTTTGGTTGATATGTATCACAGTGTGATATATATAGTGTGATTTGTTTGTATATTTTTATCGCCCTTCTTGCAGGTGGGTGTGTATTGTGCCTGTTTGACAGGACACATTGATATGACACGACATATTGATAACTGGGGATGTAATTGACAAATAAGCTCCATTTTCAAAGCTCAATATGATGATGTTGCAGACATTTTTACTCAAGCAGCAAGCATGCAGAGAGTGAATTAGTGTATTAACAATAATCACTGACATACTAAGGGGCACAAAATAATTGATCTCAGAGCAATCAAGGCATGATTGCTTGTCTCATTCTCTCAAGATTTGCCAGAAGCTTTAGTTCTTCAAACGTGTTAATGATTATTATACATCTTGAATAACCCAGGAACAGTTTCTTCTACTCTGTTCAATGTAGTGATTTAGAAGTTAATTAAAAGCAGTACATATTATTGGACTAAGGAACTAACACACAGTGTCAAATAATCTGGCATATTAAGCATTGATATCAATATTACAACTAGTAAATGTCTTCATGGGTTGAAGTGTGTCTTTGAGCCCAGTAAGTCGTTTACAATGTCAGAGTTAATACCCACTTCAAGGTAACTCTCCCCAACACGTTTCCTGTTTTGAATGTTGACTTTGAAAGCAAGAGAGCCGTTTTTATCAGTATTTTACGATTGTATAAGTTTCTATATATGAGAGAGTGAATAGGAAAAAAGTAAATAAGTGAAAGGTTAATAACAAGAGAAAGAGACAGACAGACAGACAGACAGACAGACAGACAGACAGACAGACAGACAGAGACAGAGATAGAGAGAGAGAGAGCGCGGACAGAGAATTGCCTCCAGCCTGCTGGTTTCTCTTGAATAGAGTGGTGCGATTTCCATATATATTGAGGGTTGAAGACATAAGTTTATAGGCGAGTACAGATTGCTTCTTGTGCTTGTCTATGCCACCCCTGGCTCCTGGTTGTGCCACCCCTGGCTCCTGACTGTGCCACCCCTGGCTCCTGGCTGTGCCACCCCTGGCTCCTGGCTGTGCCACCCCTGGCTCCTGGCTGTGCCACCCCTGGCTCCTGGTTGTGCCACCCCTGGCTCCTGACTGTGCCACCCTTGGCTCCTGGCTGTGCCATCCTTGGCTCCTGGCTGTGCCACCCTTGGCTCCTGGCTGTGCCACCCTTGGCTCCTGGCTGTGCCACCCTTGGCTCCTGACTGTGCCACCCTTGGCTCCTGACTGTGCCACCCTTGGCTCCTGACTGTGCCACCCTTGGCTCCTGGCTGTGCCACCCTTGGCTCCTGACTGTGCCACCCTTGGCTCCTGGCTGTGCCATCCTTGGCTCCTGGCTGTGCCACCCATGGCTCCTGACTGTGCCACCCCTGGCTCCTGACTGTGCCACCCTTGGCTCCTGACTGTGCCATCCCTGGCTCCTGACTGTGCCACCCTTGGCTCCTGACTGTGCCATCCCTGGCTCCTGACTGTGCCACCCCTGGCTCCTGGCTGTGCCACCCCTGGCTCCTGACTGTGCCACCCTTGGCTCCTGGCTGTGCCACCCTTGGCTCCTGACTGTGCCACCCTTGGCTCCTGGCTGTGCCATCCTTGGCTCCTGGCTGTGCCACCCTTGGCTCCTGGCTGTGCCACCCTTGGCTCCTGGCTGTGCCACCCTTGGCTCCTGACTGTGCCACCCTTGGCTCCTGACTGTGCCATCCTTGGCTCCTGACTGTGCCACCCTTGGCTCCTGGCTGTGCCACCCCTGGCTCCTGGCTGTGCCACCCTTGGCTCCTGACTGTGCCACCCTTAGCTCCTGACTGTGCCATCCTTGGCTCCTGACTGTGCCACCCTTGGCTCCTGACTGTGCCACCCCTGGCTCCTGGCTGTGCCATCCTTGGCTCCTGGCTGTGCCACCCTTGGCTCCTGACTATGCCACCCTTGGCTCCTGGCTGTGCCACCCTTGGCTCCTGACTGTGCCACCCTTGGCTCCTGACTGTGCCATCCTTGGCTCCTGACTGTGCCACCCTTGGCTCCTGGCTGTGCCACTCCTGGCTCCTGGCTGTGCCACCCTTGGCTCCTGACTGTGCCACCCTTGGCTCCTGACTGTGCCATCCTTGGCTCCTGACTGTGCCACCCTTGGCTCCTGACTGTGCCATCCTTGGCTCCTGACTGTGCCACCCTTGGCTCCTGGCTGTGCCACCCCTGGCTCCTGACTGTGCCACCCTTGGCTCCTGACTGTGCCACCCTTGGCTCCTGACTGTGCCATTTTTGGCTCCTGACTGTGCCACCCTTGGCTCCTGACTGTGCCATCCTTGGCTCCTGACTGTGCCACCCTTGGCTCCTGGCTGTGCCACCCCTGGCTCCTGACTGTGCCACCCTTGGCTCCTGACTGTGCTACCCTTGCCTCCTGGCTGTGCCACCCCTGGCTCCTGACTGTGCCACCCTTGGCTCCTGGCTGTGCCACCCCTGGCTCCTGACTGTGCCACCCCTGGCTCCTGACTGTGCCACCCCTGGCTCCTGACTGTGCCACCCCTGGCTCCTGACTGTGCCATCCCTGGCTGCTGACTGTGCCACCCCTGGCTCCTGGCTGTGCCACCCCTGGCTCCTGACTGTGCCATCCCTGGCTCCTGACTGTGCCACCCCTGGCTCCTGGCTGTGCCATCCCTGGCTCCTGGCTGTGCCATCCCTGGCTCTTGACTGTGCCACCCTTGGCTCCTGACTGTGCCATCCTTGGCTCCTGACTGTGCCACCCTTGGCTCCTGACTGTGCCATCCCTGGCTCCTGACTGTACCACCCTTGGCTCCTGGCTGTGCCATCCCTGGCTCCTGACTGTGCCACCCTTGGCTCCTGACTGTGCCACCCTTGGCTCTTGACTGTGCCATCCTTGGCTCCTGACTGTGCCACCCTTGGCTCCTGACTGTGCCACCCTTGGCTCCTGACTGTGCCACCCTTGGCTCCTGACTGTGCCACCCTTGGCTCCTGACTGTGCCACCCTTGGCTCCTGACTGTGCCACCCTTGGCTCCTGACTGTACCACCCTTGGCTCCTGACTGTGCCACCCTTGGCTCCTGACTGTGTCACCCTTGGCTCCTGACTGTGCCACCCTTGGCTCTTGACTGTGCCACCCTTGGCTCCTGACTGTGTCACCCTTGGCTCCTGACTGTGCCACCCTTGGCTCTTGACTGTGCCATCCTTGGCTCCTGACTGTGCCACCCTTGGCTCCTGACTGTGCCACCCTTGGAACAGTCCGATTTCTTCCTCTTTCGTTGTTTCCTTCGCTGCTTCATTTACTATGTCTCCTTCCTTCCTTCCTTCCTTCCCTCCTTCCTTCCTTCCTTCCCTCCTTCCTTCCTTCCTTCCTTCCTTCCTTCCTTCCTTCCTTCCTTCCCTCCTTCCTTCCTTCCTTCCTTCCCTCCTTCCTTCCTTCCTTCCTTCCTTCCTTCCTTCCTTCCTTCCTTCCTTCCTTCCTTCCTTCCTTCCTTCCTTCCTTCCTTCCTTCCTTTCTTCCTTCTCTTGCTTCATTCGGCCATTCGCTGCCTGGTCCCATAATAACAGTGAGGGCTGTGAATAATGGGGCCCGTCCTACCACTTAAAGAGTTCACTATCTGGTGAGAGCCGCTCCCCAGTCACTATGGTGGCTTGTGCGCGCGCGCACACACACACACACACACACACACACACACACACACACACACACACACACACACACACACACACACACACACACACACACACACACACACATGTGGTGGAGGCTGACTCCATACACAGTTTCAAATGTAGATATGACAGAGCCCAATAGGCTCAGGAATCTGTACACCTGTTGATTGACGGTTGAGAGGCGGGACCAAAAAGCGAGAGCTCAACCCCCGCAAACACAACTAGGTGAGTACAACTAGGTGAGTACACACACACACATACACACACATACATCCTAGGTTGGCCAACATAAGAACTGCCTTTAGTAACTTATGCAATGAATCATTCAGGATCTTGTATACAACATATGTCAGACCAATTTTGAAGTATGCAGCTCCTGCGTAGAATCCATACCTAATCAAGCACAAGATAAAGTTGGAGAAAGTTCCGAGGTTTGCCACCACACTAGTACCCGAGCTGAGAGGTATGAGCTACTAGGAGAGACTATTGTAATTAAACCTCACGTCAGTAGAAGAGAAGAGTTAGGGGAGACATGATTACCACCTACTAGATTCGCAGGGTATTTGACAGGGGCACACATGCTTGTTCTTTGGCACGAAACGTTGGACGTTATTTTGGCTCTAAGAACATCTATCCGTGCCACGTTTCTGATTATGGTATCACCTTATATTAATTGAGTCATTTTCAGTGTGCGCAATACATATGTGTACGTGTATCCAGGCTTTAAACCCTCTTGTGGTGTGCGTACGTCAAGTAACAGCTCGCGCCAAACTGTTTCAGTGCCTCCGTCGTGGGTGGTGGAGCCGCACGACGTGGCGGTGGTGGGCGGGGAGGAGGTGGCCCTCGAGTGTCACGCCCAGGGCACTCCCCCACCCACAGTCACCTGGAAGAAAAGCACAGGTTAGTGTCCATTAGTGTATAGAGGGGCGGCTGCTGCTCAGGGGATATCTCTCTACATCCTGAAGGGCAGTAAGGGCCGGCCATCTGATTAGCCCGTGTCTGTTTACATACTGAATGGGCGTAGAAGCTAAATCGTTGATCAGTTGAATTGTGTCGAAATCCTGTAGGTGCCTAGAAGCACCTTCAGGATTTTAGGCATTTAGATTGGTCAGCTGATGTGTGTTTACATCCTGAAGGCACGTAGGAGCTAAAGACATGATCAGCTGATGTCTGTTTTCATCCTGGTAAGTACCTGATCAGCTGATGTCTGCTTACATCCTGATGGTCCAGAAGTGTATGTCTCGATACACATTTAGATATATCATGAATAACAGGGTCTTATGTATGCTAGACTTGCTTTTTACTGGAAATATATTATACATTCAGTTTCAACATGTTTGTGGTAGGCGACTCCACCACAGTTTAACCACAATAGCTGATGCACCAGTGAGTCCCAATAACTAACTTACCTTCCGTTGCCTAACAGGAAGTTAATATTGAAACTCAAGTTGGTTGGGCTTCCGGCAAGTTGAAATAGGATCCGCTCTGGTTGCGGAGACGAGAGTTGCACATGTTGCTGGTCAGAACACATTGTACTTGTGGGTGTTGAGAATTAATCTTAGGGTGTGGGGGACAAATCGGGAACATTTCCACAAGCCAGAAAGGTCTAGAATAAGGTCCAGATGTGTGTGCACATAGGAACACAAGCTTGGTGACCTTACATGTGTGTACAAAAGTCCACATGACTGGTTACCGTGCATGTGTGTATACAGAGCCTCACGTCTGGTGTGTAAACTCAAGCACACTTGTGTATACCAGGACCTCTCGTCTGGTTTCCCTACACGTTAATGGGCTGCGTGAGAAATATCCGTCCGATGTAATATTTGGAATTCCATCAAATATTTATCACCTTTACAATTCGAAAATGTCTTAGTACAATACATGTTTTGAGAAAACATTTGATAAATGTTTTTTGATAAATGTTTTGGTCAATCTTCACTTCACTCTTTCCTTATTTATTTACCCATACCTTCCATTATATAAAACCAAAATCAGCAGTATTGTCCAGAGTTCTTTGAAATCCAGAAGTGAGAAAACTAGTCAGTATCACGGGCAGCAAATCAAGCTTGCCATTTTCGGCAATAGATGGAGAGTAAGAGGGTTGACCCGAGACGAGCGAGGGGTAAAAATACCTCGGCCGGCAGTTTCCGATCCTCTTTTCTTTAGCTCCGACTCCCCAAGTTTAATTAATCTTGATCCTCGGCTTGGGGAAGTCTTTCAGGGCGGGAGAAAACTATTCCCAAGTTTGTTCATTAATGTGCCGTTATTCGTGGCAATTACAGACCGTTCATGCGCTCTTGTCTGGAGGGGGAGCTGGCGGCCTGTTGAGGCTCTGGTTGTTATTGTTGGTGGTGGTGTTCATAGTGTTGCATTGGTATTGTGATTAGTTTATTGAGGTATAAATACCTTTCTCTCTCTATTATATATATATATACACTAGCAGTTCCCGGCCACGTGTTGCTGTGGCTCAGCAACCTTCCCTGCCCCCCAGTCCTCCCCACCAAGGGAGCCGGTCGGCCGAGCGGACAGCACGCTAGTCTTCTGATCCTGTGGTCCTGGGTTCGATCCCAGGCGCCGGCGAGAAACAATGGGCAGAGTTTCTTTCACCCTATGCCCCTGTTACCTAGCAGTAAAATAGGTACCTGGCTATTAGTCACCTGTCACGGGGTGACAGGGGGTGGGGGCCTGGTCAAGGACCGGGCCGCGGGGACACTAAAAAACCCCGAAATCATCTCAAGATAACCTCAAGATAACCATTCCCTCCCTCACCCGTCTCCTCGGCCTCCCAACAATTCCCCACTCCACCGGGCCCCCTTCCTTCCCCACCTTTAACCCCCCTCCCTTGTCCCCTCGTCCTCCCCACCATCTCTCACTTCCGTCCCCTCGTCCTCCCCACCATTCCCCACTCCCTCGTCCGATGCCTTCCCAAATGGTCTGATGTTCCCATCAGAAAATTAGGAACATCAAGTGATCTGATGTTCCATCACTGAAATATAAGAAAAACAGTTAAAAAATGAAATGAAAATATGAAAAAATAAAAAAAATAAACTATACTTACGAAATGAATGGTATGGTAAACAACACAGCTCAATTCCAACGCAATTCACACAAAATAATTAAATCAAAATGAAAATAAATTAAAATTTATGAAAATTCAATTTATAAATGGAATTGTAACATATTTAGTATAGCATGTGTGTTGCTCTTACATGCAACAGATGGCGCTGTTTTTCATCGAATGAGATCGATATCTCATTCACTGCATTCCTGATATCTGTTGTTTTCGTTCTCTGTAACTCCATTCTCAAAGTATCCTGCTCTGTATCCTGCTTTACATCCTAGCATAAACAAAAATAGCAAACGCCTTGTCCTGGGTTCGTATCCTGGCCGGGGAGGATTTAATGGGCGCCAATCCTTACCTGTAGCCTCTGTTTACCCAACAGTAAAATGGGTACCTGGTTGTTAAACGATTTGGCGGGTCGTATTCCGGGGAACATAGGATTAAGGACTTGCCCGAAACGCTACGGCTGTACAAAAATGTAAGAACTCGTGTATATATAAATAAAAATAAAATAAATAATAATAATAATTTACGGTACACTCTCAAGAGTTTCCGTTATGCTAGGTATATATACATGGTCATTTTCTCCGCCATCGCAGACTACCGCAACGTGGATGGACAAACAAAAGTTGATGTATTACTGCGTCATATATTTTAATATTTAGCAGCTAGCGCGAGACAAGCGCGGAGCGCTGATGGTGAGCGGCGCTACACAAACTTCAGATACATGAGGCATGAGAGCAATTTACCTGTTCACTTCACCGCCACCATGCGGCCGTGTTGACAGTGTGCATGAGGTAAAGGGTCTGCCCGCCAAGAAATGTGTCCAGCAGCTGGACCCATGTTTACTGAGCACTTAGTGGGAGTGGGGGTCCAGGGGAGGACCTGCCGGCACCAGAAGCTCATGTTGCTTGCCTCGTTCGCTGACTGATGCAATATGTGTATGTCTGACACAGTACTAGGGTACCTGTGTCTCGCTAGATCCTACGGTGTGACGCAGTACTAGGGTACCTGTGTCTCGCTAGATCCTATGGTGTGACGCAGTACTAGGGTACCTGTGTCGCTAGATCCTACGGTGTGACGCAGTACTAGGGTACCTGTGTCTCGCTAGATCCTACGGTGTGACACAGTACTAGGGTACCTGTGTCGCTAGATCCTATACGGTGTGACGCAGTACTAGGGTACCTGTGTCTCGCTAGATCCTACGGTGTGACACAGTACTAGCTAGGGTACCTGTGTCTCGCTAGATCTTACGGTCTGACACAGTAGGTTACAGATGCAACTGTGAAATTGGTGAACCCAGATATTGGGAATGCATCTTCTGCCAAACAATCACAGAAAAGCCACTACTTCACTATCTCCTGGATGTGAAGCAACCAACGACCTTTGAAGAGCTTTAAGAATCCCTGAGTCTTGCAGTAACCACCCTGAAGCCATCAACACTGCCACTCTTCTGGTCAAAAAGGTGTCCAGCAGCTGGAGATCCTCATAAATACTGTCAAGCAGTATCCGTCCCCGCGATAGTAAGGACTGACGATTTAATTACGACCTCAGCACATAGTTTCACACCAAAGATCACATTCACTCCAAAAGGTCTACTACTATTCATGTCCGTGCCATCTCTTGGGTGGCTTAATCTTCATCAATATCATCAGTCTAACTCCAAGAGTGGTTCAGTACAGACGCTTCAGAGATACCTGACATCTTTAACATTCACCAACAACAATGTAACACTCGACGGGTTCAGTTCCTACCCTCACAAGACGCTTCAGCCTCGACACACAGCAGACAGCCAGACTCAGGCCGCATCCAGCTTCTATGCTCTCGTCCCGCACTTGAGCTCTTCGACTCCGCCCGCATTCAGAGCACCACGTTCTTCGACTCTCACGCCGCATCCGAGCTCTCTAACCTCGACCTCACTCAGCTTTCTTCCCTGCTCCTTCGTTTCGTCTCAACTACTACAACACTTCAGTACATGCCAACAAACCAACTGCTGTAACCAAGACTATACTAAATAAATATACAAAACCACTAAACTCGTTGTGTCTAGTCAACCAAACATGTACACGTAAATATATGTTACAATTTATTTCAGCACTTTTACTCTCGCATTCAAATTGTTATTCCGGTAAAAGTACATACAGTGATGAGCTGTGTATCCTATATACATGTCCAGGTACTTGTACCTGTGAACACGGCTCAGTTCCTTGTGTTGTTGTTTTAAATTCAGCTACTCGGAACAAAGGGGGGTAGAAATAGCCTAAGCTACTCTATCCCTTTGAGATGTATTTATTGCTTATCTCAATAAACATACTTGAACTTGAACTCGGAACAAAAGTTTCAAGTAGCACGGGCTATGGTGAGCTCGTAGTGGACTTAGTTGTTCCTTGTCATTTAAAGTACTATATTTATTATTTCATGTAAATTTCTTATCGTTTCTTACCTTAATATTTGGCTTTTTCTGCACTAACAACTATAAGCCTACCTTATGACAGGCTGCTCCAAGTATGTTAAGGGCAGTTTGGATTTTGTTATCAGAAGTGCCTTGTCATCAGCATATATGGTGGTCGTGATCCCTGGAGGATACATCTCTGATGATATATTTATTAATACATTGAATAAAGTGGGCCTTTAAACTCCCCCTTGAGGGGTACCTAACTGAAACATCCTTTCTTCTGAAATATACCCTTAGTGACACACCTGACCATTTCTACCTTGAAGATAAAAGCGTATCTAATGTTAATTTACTATAACAATGATCTTGCAAACACAGCAGTTCATGGCGTCAGAAGACCTCAAAAATGTTTGGGTACTATCTAACCAACAAATAATGGGTTTATCCATTTCTTTTATTTAAAAAAATAATCACTATCAAACCAAATAAAGACAACCCAAAAAAGGGTGTTAACTAGATAGATATATAATTCGTTAAAATAACTTTGGAATAAAGATTATATTTACAAGATTGTAAGAACTGTTGTATATATAAAAACAAATTTCGTTTTCTCTTAAACCTGCATGGGCAACCTTGGATCACAACCGACCATTAGGTAAACAAAACAGGGGCAGAAATAACCTACTCTGTTTTAGTTGCTGCTTTTCTGTCTACACCACAACGCAACAAGCATTTTTGAAACTCTTATCATCTTCAACATAAACGCCTCTACCAACATCTGTACTGGTGCAGTCATCGGGAGGACAAACCCTTCATGCAAACTGCACCTACTATCAAGAAGAAGAAGAAAGAAATAACCTAAGCTACTCTATCCCTTTGAGATGTAATTTTTTCTTGTCTCAATAAACATACTTGAACTTGAACAGAACCTCGGGATTGTTTTGTTCAACCTTGACGACAACTGAACGTCTGGATACCTCCTCCCCTTCATGCAAACTACACCTACTATAAACAAGGAGGATACCTGTTCTACCTGGTAAACCGCCGGCTAACGAAGCGCACTTATTGCTCTGTGAGTCCCAATATTTCCACCTGGCATCTTTCTTAAACAGCCCGCTTTTGACACACTTGTCGCCTGGGGTCACAGGGAAGTTGATAGTTTTTTGTTTTTCCCTTTTTCTGGTTTGTCCTAGAAGGGGGGTTGGAGTTGGTGTCCGGGCCCGAGGTGTGGTGGGCGGTCCGTCTAATTACCGCAAGCTACCACAAGCTACACAGGCTTCACAAAGCTTCCTGGCAATATGTTAGTAATGAATAAATATGATATATTTACTCATTATAATGTTGGTGCTGAATGTACAACACGAAAAAACTTAATTTTAATCTAAAAGAGTATTTTTTTTATAAAGAAATTAGACGAAAATAAAGAACTGGTGACGCCAAATCAAGTCGACGATCCAAGCGTCGGTTAGGTTTGGTTAGGTTAGGTTATGTCAACCTAACCTAATATATCATATTTATTCATTACTAACGTATTGCCAGGAAGCTTTGTGAAGCTTGTGTAGCTTGTTGTAGCTTGCGGTAATTAGACGGACCCGTGGTGGGCCAACCTGACCTCCTTCAAAGACCGTCGCTTTTCGATCGTATGTGTTGCACAAGACCAAAAATTGTTGTACTATAAAATGGAAGTGGCTCATGAAAGTGACGTACTGTCCCATTTTCTGTTTTGGGTATTCTGGTAGGATAGGAGAGGACATTTTAAAATGACCGTTTTCATGACTGCGTCAAACCTTAGGAGGACGAACCTTAGGAGGACAGGCTGGGTGGGCTCCGGGCATGCCCACAGGGTGTGGTGGGCAGCTGGCTCCTGCTCGACTGAAGGGTTGCTGGAAGTCTTAAATGAAATTTGACAATTTCAGTTTTGGGGGCATTCGTGCTTTAGCCATTTTGCTTTGACTTGATTCGGTCACCCACTGGACGCCTGATGAATTGTCGTCTGGGGTCACTGGATATCGATAAAGTCTTCCAGTTGGCTGTGTTTGGGGTGGATGATGGCTCTTGCCTTCCCTGTGTGTCACCAAGCACCTGCTGTGCAGTGTGTTTATCTGCTGTAAGGCATAGCAGTTTTTTCTTTTCTTATTGGCTAGCCACTTGGCTAAAGTATTTTTCCTGGCTCACGAGAATAACAAGGTACATACAGCCCTGCCCTACAACAATAATTGTTGAGGCATAAAAGCATCTTCCTAGTTCTTTATTATAATTTTATAATATCTCAAAACTTATGCTTTATCTAACTAAGACATGACATTCTTACTGAAAACCTGGAGCGTACAACCAACTGAAGGAATCTAGAGATTAATTCACAACAAATAAAATTACTTATAGCGGAACGCTTAAAATAGACATTTCAGAATGGACCACTGAGTGAGGAATGCATAGGGGTGAGGAAGGACAGGAGATGACAAGTGGTTGTAATGAAAGAGGTGGGCAGGGACATCCCCTGACACATTCAACCCAAATGATATTCCTCATGGGGATGTTTGTCTTAGGACAGTTGAATTAATATATTAAAGAATTGATGAACTTGGAGAATGAATTTTGGTAATGCTTAAAAATTGTGAAACTTGCCTGGAATATATGTTACACAAAGGAACAAAGTCTCCGACTCAAAGGATCCAGTCTCTGTGGTTTAGTGGTAAGACACTTCCCTTGCGTTCCGCGAGCACTTTGTCATGGGTTCGTAACCTGGCTGGAAGGATTTACTGGGCGCAAATCTTTAACTGTAGCCTCTGTTTAACTCAACAGTAAAATGGGTACATGGTTGTAAAAACGATTCTTCGTGGGGAGTCGTATTCCAGGGACCATAGGATTAAAAACTTGCCCGAAATGCTACGCGTACTAGTGGCTGTACAAGAATCCTAATCTTCTTATCCTAATTAACAGATCAGCCTTGGAAAGGCTTCTAGTTTCCCTGAACAGATGAGCTATGTTATGTCCTCCAGAGCCCAAGTTGCAGTTCTTCTCAATCACTCTTGAGACAAATCTAAGAGTATTTGTGTTTACATTTAAGAGGCAGAGCCAAGGTTTAGGTACATCAATTGTGAAAGGTTGACATTTGCATTAATCAAATGAATCCTCAACTTGGCATTATCATTTCATATATTGCCTCTGTTCCCTAATGGCTTTGGCAGGTCAATATAAGTGTAGCAGTAGTGTAAAAGTAACAGTAGTGTAGAAGTAGTAGTTTAACACTTCAATCTGATTTTCTGTTTGCCTGTCTGTCCAAGGTTTGATGCCAGATGATTGGGGCTGTCTTTGCCTAACATTGCAGGGGAAATGGTCTGGGGTATTGGATGGATATAGGCTGGTCAGGACCACCAGAATTCGAGAGCAACGTGCCAGGGTCTCATTTTGACTACTGTTTTTAGCACTGTCCACTGGCAGTACCCAGCTAAATATTTTGAAAACAAAAATTTCAATAACTTTTATAATAATACATGCCATTGATCTTGAGAAAAAATTTGCATAAATTTTCAGGAATTCCTACTTTGGCTGTAGTTGAAGAAAACAGATGATCCTCTTACAGCTTGGGACTTTCTCAACCCCCTCCCATTTGACAAAAGCAAATGGATAATGATTATATTTCATGAATATTTCAGAGTACTAGGTGCCTCCCACCGGTGGACCACCCACAAGTCAATAGTTGACTATCATGTTATTTTTGAGAGGGGGGGGGGGGAATTGGCTGACAACAACACAGACAGGCAAAGGCAGACACAGATGCTAGGGCCCTCACCCTGGTGTTAAGCCCCCATCACCCTGATGCTAGCTACAGATGGTGACTGATACATAGTCTTCCCAGCTTGACGCCTTCTTTTTTATATCAATAATTACTTAACTGCAGATGGTGTTTGTCACTAATTACTCAAGGTATTTCAACAGATGATGTGGGCATGGAGGAGGGATCGGTGGTGGTGGATGATGGGTGGCACATCAGAACACCACGGGCGGGCTCCCTCAGGATCAGGGATTCTCGGGCTGAGGACAGTGGGCGCTACCTCTGCCATGCCCAGAATGACGTCAGCCCACCCATCACCAAGATGATCTCGCTCTCAGTCCTTGGTGAGTCTGCTAGTTGTACTGTGCTCCATCGCTAGATTTTGTTCCACATTTTTAGTCTGAATTCCGAAACATTAAAAAGTTATACAATATTCAGAAAAACTAGGCTTAAACCAATACTGTATCTGTTGGTGTCTTAATTCTTCTTCTCCTATGACATTCTTGGTTCCAACAAAATGTTTTTTGAATTACTGTAGTACTAGATGCAATAATCTATATGTTTCTCTTGTTGTGTTTATAGAAGGTAATAAAAAAAGTTCTCAGACTATCAGTGCAAACCATAACAGAGGATTACATATCCTGCCACTGGGTGTTTACCTGCTTGATACCTGCTTGATGGGGTTCTGGGAGTTCCACTTCCCAAGCTCGGCCCGAGGCCAGGCTTGATTTGAGAGTTTGGTCCACCAGGCTGTTGATTGGAGCGGCCCACAGGCCCACATACCCACCACATGCTCGCTGGGAGGATGTTGAACAACTGTAGACCTCTTGATGTTTACACTGTGTTCTCAGATTGTGTCTATGATACCCCTGCACTTCACTGGTTCTATTCTGCATTTTCTTTCAATGTGCTGTGTTTGTGGCAGAACCTTGTATATCTTGTCACTGGGTATATGCTGTGTTTGTGGCAGAACCTTGTATATCCTGCAACTGGGTATATGCTGTGTTTGTGGCAGAACCTTGTATATCCTGCCACTGGGTGTATGCTGTGTTTGTGGCAGAACCTTGTATATCCTGCCACTGGGTGTATGCTGTGTTTGTGGCAAAGAGCTTTGTATATCCTGCCACCAGGTGTATGCTGTGTTTGTGGCTGAGAGCCTTGTATATCTTGCCACTGAGTGTGTGCTGTGTTTGTGGCAGAGGGCGCCCGAATGGAAGAGCGGGTGCTGAACGAATCTGCTGCTGTGGGAGACAGTCTTGCCCTGCGGTGCCCTGCCAGGGGTGACCTGCCTCTTGACTTCACTTGGGCACGTGATGGCCTGCCCCTACCCGGTGAGTATTCCTCCAGCATATTTGGTTTGCATTTACATTATACCATCTGGTACAAGTTCATCAGTTATTATGGTTATTCTGTACTTGGTTCCCTTATTATGGCTAGTACCCACCTCTTGCCCAGTACAGTACCTACACCTTGCCCAGTACCTACACTGGTGAGTGTAAGGTACAAAACATCCACAGTGATCAGTATAAGGAACTCACCTCCCTCCTAGAGTACGACTTAATCAAACTAGAAATGCTCTACAAATCAAGGGGCCCAGAATGTGGAATGACCTTCCCAACCATGTTAAAGACTGTACCTCTCTCAACCAGTTTAAGATAAAAACTAAACACTACCTAATAAATTCCCTGTAACCTACCTTACCCCTCTATTGTCAACCCATGTCTGTTATTTTTTTTTAATGAACACTTTTTGTCAACCTATTGTATTTCTGCTGCTTTTCAGTCATGTTCCCCCTTTTTTTTTTATCTTTATTTGTATTTGTTCTCAACACATTTTATTCTTTATGCTCAATTAGTATTAAGTTCTAGATATTAATGTTTTTCCTGCCCGAAACGCATTGCGTAATAGTGGCTTTAGGCATTGTATGTACTAGCTCTATCTATATATTGATCCATTAATGTAACATCACTTGTATGTATGTACCTTACCTGAATAAACATATTTATATATTTATTTATTATAAACTTGTGTGGTGGTACAGGAGGACTGTCGTCAGAGGCGGAGGTGCGCCTTGAGGAGGGTGGGAGGGTGTCGGTGCTGGTGATCGCCTCCACCACACGGGCCCATGCTGCTGTCTACACCTGCCAGGCCTCCAACCGCTATGGTGCCGACTCAAGAACTTTCTTCGTCAATGTTGTTGGTAAGTCAAGACTCGATGCGCTCATTTGCCTGCTCGAAAATTTCAGATCTAATAAATTTCTTCATTAGATTGCTAAGCAGGAATTAATAAAGGACAAATTGTCAATATTTTAAAATAATATTTATGGCTCTGTTGGGTAGTTCAATTAGAATATATTTGAGATGTTAAGTTCACATTTTCTTTTCTGGGTAGGGGGTAAAGAAGATGCATTTAGAAATGTATGATAGCTGTACTGAAATGGAACCGAATTATGTATAGATAAATGGAATGTAGTGACCACAAGAGATAACATGTAATATTGATTAGTTTATTTCACTGTAGAAATTAAGTTTAATATAAAATGGTTTTTAAAATTTTATTTAACATAATAATTCACTCTTCAACTCTTATATAGAATATAATATATCAGGATTAATCTGAATGATATGTTGACCAGACCGCACACTAGAAGGTGAAAGGACGATGACGTTTCGGTCCGTCCTGGACCATTCTCAAGTCGATTGTGATGAGGAAAATTGATTGATGAAGATTAAGCCACCCAAAAGGTGGCACGGGCATGAATAGCCCGTAAGTGGTGGCCCTTTTGAGCCATTACCAGTATCATTAGATGATACTAGAGATCTGTGGAGGTGCGACTGCACCCTGCGTGACGGGAGATGTCTCCCCCATGGGCCCGCAGATTGATTGATTGATGAAGATTAAGCCAGCCAAAAGGTGGCACGGGCATGAATAGCCCATAAGTGGTGGCCCTTTGGAGTCATTACCAGTATCAATAGCTGATACTGGAGATCTGTGGAGGTGCGACTGCACCCTACGGAAAGGTCGTGACCTCTGTGTGTGATGAGGAAGTAGATGCAGACAATAAATAGGCAAGAGAGAGGTGAGGAGCAAGGTAAGGTGTAGTAGAGGGAATAGTAGTAGGAATAAGAACGGCAGAGGGCCTATTGGCTCATACGAGGCAGCTCCTATTATAACCACCGAATGAGAAAAAGATAGTAATAGGAATAAGAAGAGGATAGCAAGGGAACGTAAGAGAAAACAAAGAACAAAAACGAGAGAAGAGAGAAAGAAAAGGAAAGAGAAAGAAAGATAAATGGAAGGGTAAGCTTATGTTAGGTCACGTTTGTTAGAAAGATTAGAGCATTTGATTATATACTGTGAAAGGGAAGAGTGAGATACATTACCAACTCACACAGACAAATTTTCCCTAAGAACATCACTGCATATCTTTAACACGCCACTACAAACTACCTGACTAGCTCGCCACTACAAACTACCTGACTAGCGCGCCACTACAAACTACCTGACTAGCTCGCCACTACAAACTACCTGACTAGCTCGCCACTACAAACTACCTGACTAGCTCGCCACTACAAACTACCTGACTAGCTCGCCACTACAAACTATCTGACTAGCGCGCCACTACAAACTACCTGACTAGCTCGCCACTACAAACTACCTGACTAGCTCGCCACTACAAACTACCTGACTAGCTCGCCACTACAAACTACCTGACTAGCTCGCCACTACAAACTACCTGACTAGCTCGCCACTACAAACTACCTGACTAGCTTGCTACTACAAACTACCTGACTAGCTCGCCACTACAAACTACCTGACTAGCTCGCCACTACAAACTACCTGACTAGCTCGCCACTACAAACTACCTGACTAGCTCGCCACTACAAACTACCTGACTAGCTCGCCACTACAAACTACCTGACTAGCTCGCCACTACAAACTACCTGACTAGCTCGCCACTACAAACTACCTGACTAGCGCGCCACTACAAACTACTAACATGTAAATGATAAACCCTGCCCGAAACGCTTTGCGTAATAGTGGCTTTAGGCATTGTATGTACTAGCTCTATCTATAAATCCAACAAACTTTGTAAAATCTCTTTATGTATGTACCTTTACCTAAATAAAAATTATTATTATTATTATAACTTGACTACCTCACCTAAGTAACCTTACTACCCTAATCACTGTAAATAGTTTCAGTATGTTATTACTGTGTATGATCTCACAAGCAGTGTGTATGATTTCACTGGTGCTCAATGCTGGCCTATGTTAAATAAATGCAGCATTGTTGATCATGTTGCATACTCCCTGTTCATGTTGCATTCCACTGACCATGTCAGCAACTGCAGGATGTTTCTCCCTCTGCAGAGCGGCCGGATCCTCCGGGTCACGTACACGTAAGGGAAGTGACAAGCCGCCACGTCTCCTTGGCTTGGGCGCCACCCTTTGATGGAAACTCTCCCCTCACTCACTACCTTCTGCAACACTGGTCTGCCCATGATGCAAACCCATCACCTATTAACACCACCCTACCGCGGGACCTGACTCAAGCCACCCTGAAGGTAGGTACATGGGAACTAACAGTAGCCATGATGAAGGCAGGGAGGTACATTGTACCTGATTCAAGTTATAATGAATTAGATATTGCTGAAAGTTGCAAGGTGGCAAATACAACGAAAGGTTAAAGGTTGTGAATCACTTGTATCTCCTCAGCATCTCAACAGGATCAGAGGACTCGGCAGGCATTTCCCCTCCGGATCACCACACAGAGGTGCTGTTAAATAAAACGGGCAGCTCTATGGTCTCTGGTAGGGTCATTGACCCTTCAGCCTAATTCCTTGAGAAAGCTCATGGCACCTTTACCCAGGGACCAAATGTCTCAAAAGCTATGGGAACAGATGTTGCAGTTGCCTGTACTAGTGTGATTTTACTGCTTCTAGTATGGTTTGCTGCCCCCATGCCTGACCAACACCATAGGATACATAGGGGAGAGCCAGGGTGAATACACACATGCAATCCCACACAGGCTGTTTGCCATTCGTCCAGAGATATATGGTGATGCCATCTGGGCAAAGAACAGGATCACCAGGGTTCTGGCCCATTAACAAGGTTCTCTCTCTGCCGGGCACTGGGCTGCAGCAAGGCAGAGATGTCTTGATGTCATTGACATCATTGTATCTTGCTTGCCAATCCTTGAAGCTTATGGAATGTGTACCATGCAAACCATATCTATCAGCTTTCAACTTCTTGCAAATACACTTGTACTCAGTGTAAATTGGGGCACAAAGACAGGGGGCTACTGCAATACAGAGGGTCTCTGGATCTAGACATGTGCTTGTTGTAGACACAGGTACTGCTAAAATGTCCTCTGCATGGGGACACTAATAATAGGGATCCCCACTACATGGGGGATCTAAGGCAAGCTTTCCCTATTGTGATAGTGAAGCATGGAGCATGTCTTATGCTTTTTTCTCCACAGGGCTGTCCCAGCTGGCCTGTTTGATGTTTGCTGGGTCTGATCTGGGTGTTGGGGGTGGCAAGAGCATCCCACTGATTGGAAAAATTCAATGAAGGCAGGATTGTGTATCCTTGCAGAATCACCAAGCTAGTCTCGTAATATTTCTTTTACAAAATTGCTCAGTGTAGTTCAATGGGAGCCCCATGTACCTGTGGGAGTTTTAAAATCTCAGTGACTACTTCTTCATATGATGTGCAGTCATAGCATAATTACTCAGCCCATCATAGGTGATGCACAACCAAAGAGTTAAACAAAGAGGTGTGGGAGGGAAGGATGGGAGTGGAAGAATGGTTTGTCATTGGGCTATAGACCTGTCATTCTCTGAAGCATTATTAAGGCCACTCAAGTGCTTACTAACCAACCAGCAACTAAACTTCAATCCAGACACATAGTCCAGGCCTAACTTAAGTGCTCTGTATTTTTTGCAAATAAATGGGTTATACTTGTCGATGTACCTATGTGTAGCAGTGTTCAAATGTCCAGATGGATCTGTTATGTTGGTCTCCTTTTTCACGTGTCACTGGCAGCTACTTAACGTAATTTATTACCCATTTTCCAGTTAAAATACCACTTATCATTGCCACTTTTATTGTCATTTTATAATTGCTACATAAACATCCTATTCCCAATGATACAGTTTCTATCCCAATTTTAACATCACTGTCACAAAAAACACAGTACAGTTGTACACAATGTTGAACAAACCACACACTAGAAGGTGAAGGGATGACGATGTTTCGGTCCGTCCTGGACCATTCTCAAGTCGATTCAAACCTATCGACTTAAGAATGGTCCAGGACGGACCGAAACTTCGTCATCCCTTCACCTTCTAGTGTGTGGTCTGTTCAACATTCTTCAGCCACGCTACTGTGTCTGATCGCCTGCACAGTTGTATACACTTCAAATCTAGAATGCCATAGAGGCATGCAATGCCCATACCATTTCACTGGACCTTTGACAACCTGGTACTAATTTTTTTTTCTCCAGACCTCATACTGCTTCCCGGTGACCTTAACAATCTGTAACTCGTAACTGTAACTGGTGTCTCAAATGTATTGACTGAAACACACACAACAAATATGCTCTGTAATGCCAACAGCTCTACAACGATGGTCAGGTGTGTGTTTAGTGGAAGGTTTGTATGTTATGGAACCTGGTTTGTATGTACTAGTAATCTTTCCAACAAGGAAAGGTTTTCTTTGCTGCTTTGTTATATTACTATACAAAATGAGCTGGTGCTTAAGCAATACGAAAGTATTTAAATAACTATTGGCTAGTCTAAAGTGATGATAGTTATTAATACCTCTATACTGTACTTAAAATGATCTGTACAGCAACACTTTCCATACGGCTAACATTCAATACCCGATGGTCCGAGTGGTTGGGTACCATTCCTCTCCTCAATCCTCATTCCTTCCAGGTGCCACATAATCATACCAAGCACTTTCTCATGATAATTACCTTGTCTCGCCAGTCCATCCTCTTGGACTGGTCAGGGAGTGATGGCCTGGTTTCCAGCAGTCAGGGGCTCAATTTCAATGGTCAAAGTGATTGGGCACAGTTCCTTAAATCCTTCCTGCTATTCTAGTTTCCTCCTGTCATCACATCAATCCAGGCCTTCAAGAAGAACTGGATAAAATAAGTGCTTGGAGCACCACTTGGCAAATGGAATTTAATGTGAATAAATGCCATGTAATGGAATGTAGAATAGGAGAAAACAGACCACACACAACCCACAAATTAAGTAAAAACACTGAAAAGAAAAATTATGATAAATACAAATCTAGAGATGGTTTTAAATAGGAAACTGTCACCCGAGGACAACCTAAAGAAAATTGTGCGAGGAGCCTATGCTATGCTTTTCAATTTCAGAATTACTTGAAGCACATAAACAAACTGGAAAAGGTGCAAAGTCATGCAACTAAATGGCTTCCAGAACTGAAAGACAGGAGCTACAAGGAGAGGTTAGAGACATTATATATGCCAAAACTAGAAGGTAGAAGAAAGAGGCGATGTCACTGACTGCTTACAAAATAGTAACATGAATTAACAAAATTGATAAGGGAGAATTCCTGAGACTTGGAACTTCATGAAAAAGGTAATAGATTTAAGCTAACTAAACAAAGCTGCTGAAGAAATATAAGAAAATTCCCCTTCACAAACGGTGGTAGACGGTTGGAACTGGTAAAGTGAGGTGGTGGTGGAGGCCAAAACCGTCAGTAGTTTCAGAGGGATGTGTGATAGTACTGGGAAGACGGGACACCACAAGCATTGTTCTCATCCTGTAACTACACTTGGGGTAATAACACTTAGCATGTTAAAGGGATGTAATTACCTATGTAGTCATACTGGTTTAGTATTTTCTCCTATAAATTGCCTTACCTCACCTTAAATGTTAGGCTCCTGTGCTCCAGGTTATAGCAAATATTAGTAATTTAGCAGACAATGAACCTACAATATTAGCATAAATTTTATGAAGTGTAAAAGGAGCTTGACAAATATATTTCTATCTTGTAGGGTTTGTCTCCAGGACGTGCCTACCATGTGCAGGTGTTGGCTGTGAATGCCAGGGGGTCGTCACCCCCTTCGCCCACCCTTAGCATCACCACGCTACAGGAGCCGCCCACAGCCCCACCTACACGCCTCCGAGCCCACGCCCGTCAGCAGGCTACTATCACCCTCACCTGGCAGGTAACTATTATCATGCCCCAGCAACTGGGTGTACCACACAAAGATAATACCACTTAGCACAGTTATAACTGTTTAATCTGTATGATATGATCTAGGAGTGGTAAAGTTTGACAGTAAGCCTAGCCAATTAAACTGAATTGGGGTGAGATGTTCTGGAATTTTAAACTATGAATTTGCATGCTTTCTCAGTAAGAGCATGGGCCACAAGTCTAGATGGGGTTGTCAAGTCTATAAGAATAGTGTTCATTACTCATATAGAAATATAGAATATTTTTACTTAAGAGTTTATGAATTATCTCAAATGTAGTTTAGATATGTATAAGAGTTTAGTTAGTATAAATAGCTGTATGTTTTTCTCAGTTCTTGATGTTATTTTCTTTCTGTCCACATTGACGTATTGGGTCTGCACAACTAACTCTTCCTCGCCAAGGCTCCAGCAGCGCACTTGAGTCCAGGCGAGGTGACCGGATATCAGGTTGGCTACCAGGAAGTGGAGCTTGGTGAGGAGGGGGAGTACCGCTGGAGGAGTGCCCGAGGTGGAGCCATGACAGCAGAAATCATGGCTCTCAAACACTACACGGCCTACAGAGTCACCGTCAGGGCTGTCAACCAGGTGGGCGCGGGCCCTCCTGCACAACCTGTCATTGTTACCACTAGTCAGGGAGGTTAGTCACACCTTTTCTGTCATGCATTGTTCTGTTAAAGACTGCTGTTTTCCACAACATACATATCATTGTTAAATGCCCAAGTTACATGCACTAGGCTGAGAACATTGAGGACTTAAAGAAGTGAGTTAAAATGGGCAGAGGAAATTGGAAATTATACGGAACTATCGCGTGTATTATGCCGTAAAATGTTATGAAGACAATAAAATTCATACTTCATTACCTCTTAGTCACTGGACTCTAGTTTACAATGCTGCCGAGTCCTCTCTGCTTCCTGTAGCTCAGCTGGCCTACAGTGTCAATTTCCACTCATGCCTCATTAGATTTTCACTTACACTTCAAAGGCGGTTTGCACAGTGTTAATGCTGCATACTAGCATGCCACAATCACTTTCTGGGTTTGTTCATTCTAGCAGTGTTACATAGTGTTGCTCAGGTAATGAACATGGGGTCAGCCCTCCACTGCCCCTTGTGAAACCCCAGAGAATGACTGTCATAGATTGCATCTTAAAACAAATCGTCACTAACAGTTTATATCACTATTTTTATGCTCTTTATCAGTCTTTGCATCAAGCAATGTTAATAAAAAGCTCTTCACAACACACTTCATTACACATGCTTATCACAGTACATACACTTCACAAAACTTAACACATGCTCCCCACAAGTGCACGCGCCTCACAAGTGCACGCGCCTCACAAGTGCACGTGCCTCACAAGTGCACGCACCTCACAAGTGCACGCACCTCACAAGTGCACGCGCCTCACAAGTGCACGCACCTCACAAGTGCACGTGCCTCACAAGTGTACGCACCTCACAAGTGCACGCACCTCACAAGTGCACGCGCCTCACAAGTGCACGCTGATCCTAGTGAGACAGTGTAACAGTGGTCTGTTCTGACCTTTATCCATCAAATTCAACTTTTGGTCCTGTTTTCAAAGAATTTCTGTTGCTTAAGTCAACAGATTACCAATGCCGTGTTTCTGTACTTTAGGCAATACGTTTGTGGAGTTTTATCAAAGGCCTTTCTTAAAGTTTAGACAAATGATGTCTGATTGCACCTTAGAGTCCCAGTTGTGTATCACATTAAAAAATAATTTGTAGGTTTGTTAATCATTATACGTTGTGTAAACAGTGTTGGGTGTATGCTGTATACATGAATTCTACATTGGTTTCAGATGCTTCTGCAAGTACAGATGATGATCTGATCATTTTATGCTTTTGCTTACTTTCCTAACTACTGATCGTAATATTGACATTACGTTTTCTATTTCTAGTTGATTTTGTAATCTCAATGTAGAACTCAGTGGTCTTCACAAAAGGGAGTAATCTATGAATGTGATAAATCTTGATTATTTTCTTCATAATGTTTCTCGTATATTAAGGATATTCTGAAACCTAATTTTATTAGAATTTGCATATTCAAGCATTTAAATATTATTTTGTCTCTTCATTACAGATACTAGACTTACACTTGAAAGCCTATGTATTGTGTATCATGTTATATACATAATTCTGACATCTTTCAGGCAGTCATTGTTTCTAAATTGATTTTAATAATTATGTAACTAATAACGTGTCAAACTTAATCCACTTGATCTACCACTTTAAAGCATCTTGGTATATTTTTTTTCCTGTGTGTCCCAGTACCGTCAGTGCCCCCGGAGAACGTCAAGTGTGACCCTCTGTCCTCTCAGGCTGTCAGGGTCCGCTGGAACCCCCTCCCCCTCAACCTCTCCAATGGTCCCGTTCAGGGCTACAAGGTCTTCTACAAGAGGACCTCAAACATTGAAGGTAGTGGGGGAAGATGTCTCCTGGTTCGTCTCCTATGGTTAAGAGTCTTGAATGTAGATAATGCATGTCCTTTTCAGTTTCAAAATACTGTACAGTATTAACTTTTGTTTGTAGGTGCAGGCGTGTAATGCATCATAAAACTTAAAAATAAAAATTATTTACTGTAAAACATAGAAAACATTTACTGTATAACATATTAGATGGTATTAAACATTGCCATAAAACTGTTGAATGCATTAATTAAACAGCTGGAGGCACAAAAGGACTGGGTTTGGGTTGGCCCCCATTACTCCAATTTAAATGTGACTATCTTCTGTGTCAAACCCCACAAAGTTGGTGAGTTGAACTGGCTCAAAACCTCTAAAAATAATAAAATTACTTTTTCTTACTTCTGTATATCGTAAAACAGTATTCACCAATCTCGGCAAAATGTTAATAAATTCCCCTTAAATATTTTGTCTGTCTCCCCAAATCCTTTTTTTTTTTTTCTATTATCAGGTTTAGTTCCTTCAGTCTTTCCATATCCCATCCCTCTAAATTTTGGGACGAGCATCGTAGCACCTCTGAACATTTTTTTCAGTTTCCTTGGGTGTTTTGCCCATTGTAATGCCATAAATATTGACGGATGTCATGGGAAGTACTAGGTCGACCCAGGTACCAGCGAGTCATTTACTGCCTCATATATTGCAAACATGTGTCCAGGCCTAGAGAATGGTACAACAGTGAGCAGAGTGTCTCAGTTGTTTCTACTGTTGGCATGGAACACAAATTTTTAATTTACTGTATATGTTGTATATTTGATACCTTGAAAATGTGACACTGTGACACTGGTATAATTGGCTGATTATGAAGATAAGGCCCCCCTTCCCCCCCCAACTCCATTAAGTCCAACATCAAATTAAACCATTAGCAAAGAATGCCAGTGTTTCTGAACAAAGCATCAGAGATACACACGCCTCCCATCTAACTAACCTCTTGACTTCAACTATAGGATCTAATGCAGTGGAGATAAAGCGAACGACCAACTTGGAGACCAATCTGCAGGGCCTGGGGCGCTTCACTAACTACAGCGTGAGGGTGTTGGCCTTCACAGCGGCGGGCGATGGAGTTGTGTCCATGCCGGTACTCTGTTCCACTCTGCAGGATGGTAAGCACACCTCTGCTTTCACTGAAGATTTGTGCCTCGGTAAATACTGACTTCTAATTACCTAAGTTTAGGTACAGGATGAGAGCTGTACTCGTGGTGTCCTGTCTTCCCAGTACTGTCATATAATGCTTTGAAACTTTTTTCAGAGGTGAAGAAACCACCAACTGGTTTCTTCACCAGGAGGCTTCTCACCAGTTAGGGCTTCCATACTACTGAGAAAGACTGGGTGTTTGCCATCTTTATATTTTGTGTTGTGTAGGTTATCTTGAGAAGATTTCGGGGCTTTAGTGTCCCCGCGGCCCGGTCCTCGACCAGGCCTCCACCCCCAGGAAGCAGCCCGTGACAGCTGACTAACACCCAGGTACCTATTTTACTGCTAGGTAACAGGGGCATAGGGTGAAAGAAACTGCCCATTGTTTCTCGCCGGCGCCCGGGATCGAACCCAGGATCACAAGTCCAGTGTGCTGTCCGCTCGACCAACCGGTGTATATTTTAATTTTAGCATAAATACGTATGGAATACATTAGTAATCATGCTTTTCCAGAGTCATGAAGGATTAAAACATGAGAGGTAAGGAGAGCTCTGCGTGCTTGGTCCGGGTACTGGCTTCACATTTGTCCTCGGGTTCCACATGCACACTTTGTTTAACTTCCACAGCTGTACATGCAATGTTTCAATTTGTATTACTATACCTACTGTCCTCTGTTCACATGGCGCTCCTCTCTCCAACAACACTTCTTAAACCAGGTACTGTACTTGAATTCCTGATTGTTATTCTTGTATCGTCTTTGCAGTTCCTGGGGCGCCACCAGCAATCCAGGCCCTTCCCACTGGTCGAGAAACAGTCATGGTATCCTGGCTCCCTCCAGCCCGCCCTAATGGTGTCCTAACACACTATACACTCTACTACCGTCCACTTAATGCCCCTCAGGTAAGCCCCACTCATCGCATCTCATATGACCTCCAGTTAATGGGAAGCATACTGTAACCCTCTCGAGTGACCTCCAGTTAACGGTAGAGCATATTATAACCTGTCCTGTATATATTAACACTTTCGCGCTATCTGGACGCACCGGCGCGTTCGGTTTCGTCTAACGTAAACGCATAGCGGACATAAAGTTATGTCTACTTTTAAAATATTTGTATAAAATTCAATTTTAATCCGATTTCATTGGGGTTTGTTTCAAACGACGCGCCATGAAGTTCTCTTTCTCACCACTAGGCCGCCTGGCGCGTCGGCCTACCCGGTCACGTGACGGGCCCATTGTTTTCGTGTCACATGTCGTGAGTCGATCACGCTCCCCTCGCGCGCCAAACTCGAGCATTTTTACCCGTTTCCGTGTGGATTATACCCAATTACTTCATCAAAAATGGATCAAGGTCAAGGCCCAAGCACTTCTACAAGCACTCAAGAAACATTGAGAGAACTTGGGGTGTACACATGTGGCACAATTAGAATGCTACGTGGCGCCCCAAAGGTATTGCAAGCTCTAGCCAAGGGTAAACTTCCACTGGATACCACAGTATACCGCCGCAAAGATAATACCTTCATTCTCCTGTGGAAAGACAAGCGAGTGGTTTCAATCATTACCAACATCCACAATGCAGACACTCAGCGAGTTCAGCGAAGGAAGCGAATTCGCAACCGAGACGGAACAAGTGGAATACAACAGGTAACAGTGAACAAACCGACTGCAATTTGCGAGTACAATAAGTTCATGAAAGGTGTGGACCACTTCGATCAAATGGTTAAATATTACCATTTTACCAGGAAAACTCACAAGTGGACCAAAAAGATTACCTTTTATTTCCTGCAAATGGCATTGCATAATGCCTATGTTTTGTACAAATACAACACAACTGATCGAAAAAAGCTAACATTGCTACAGTTCCACGAAGTGGCAATCTGGGCCCTATTGCACTGGGACACAGAGGAGTGGCCTAAAACAACATCATCATCTCAACACTTGCGGCACGCTCCAGACAAATGATGACACAGCTCCTGCCAATGCTGACGCCATGCCAACTCCCGGACCATCTGGTGTGAGGCGGCCTTTGTTCACTACACCACCTCAAGATGAAGCAGACAACGAATCTGAACCCAACATGTCTGCCACACTGCCAGTTGACGAAACTGTTTTGTCAGACAGTCTCCGTGGTGTAGTGGTAAGACACTCGCCTGGCGTTCCGCGAGCGCTATGTCATGGGTTCGTATCCTGGCCGGGGAGGATTTACTGGGCGCAATCCCTTAACTGTAGCCTCTGTTTAACGCAACAGTAAAATGTGTACTTGGATGAAAAAACGATTCTTCGCGGCAGGGGATCGTATTCCAGGGACCTGCCCGAAACGCTACGCGTACTAGTGGCTGTACAAGAATGTAACAACTCTTGTATATATCTCAAAAAAAAAAAAAAAAAAAAAAAAAAAAAAAAGATGAATCTGACTCTCCTGCAACTCCTGTTACACCTCCAGCGAGAGGACCTGGCCGCCCTATTGTTGATTCAGAAAATCGCATGAACTACAAACTGAAACATGAAATTTACAGACTACCCAAACGTCTCAAGTGTCATGCATGCGCACGGTCCGGTAAAACGAAGGACACGAACTATGGATGCAAGACCTGTGGTGTTGCACTCTGTGTTGTTCCCTGCTACACCAATTACCACCGGAAACAGGTGTATTGGGTGGTGAAGAAGTAACCACCCGCAACAGCTTCACTCCACCTACAAACCATCTGTTGAGCAACTTCAGGAATGAAGAACCTGAAGAAGGTGGAGAGAAGAACAAATGCTCAACTTACTGTTCCACAACCAGCCTTCCCTTGGTAAGTACACCTATTTGGTCCAAGTTTGTGTAGTATAATTTAGCTCATAGAACATTCTATTGTGAAAACATTGCCACAAAAATGAATGACATACATACAATAATAATATCAGAACAGTGAAATAAGTATAAACTTTCAAAGCAACGTTTCGCGCATGTGTCGTCCGGTCACCGTTACCGGGTAACAGTGCGCCCACTTCCCACACTCTTGCGGGTGGGCCGGGACCATTATTCTACGATTATATTCATATCATCGTGTTGGGAATTTTATTGGGAGTCCATTGATACCAAAATTAAGGCTGTAGGACAATTGTAGAGGTGATAATAATCCCAAGAGTAAAAACATTTTGTTGCTGTAGAGCGCTCACGGCGACTCATCTTCGTAGTTATTTATTTCATGCTGGTATCTCTATAGCTTTTGTGACTTTTTTTACTGATGTTCTTCTAGAGAATTTTATTGCGAACACGTTGGTACCAAAATGAAATACGTAGCATGAAAACTAAGGTCAGAAAAGTAAAAAGAGTATACACATTTTTGTTTTTACGCTTAAGCGATAAAAACGCCGCGCGCACATACGGTTGGCTGAGTGACCTTCGCCGAGAGCGCGAAAGTGTTAAATGTAAAACTGGACAAAAATAATTATTTAGAAGTTAAACATATTTGGAATGAAATGGTTTCTTATTAGAAAAATTGCAGTTTCATAGTTTCTATTATTTCTTGAGTATAAACAGCACACAGACTGAGAAACATGAGTAAACTCCTTAATTTAAAAATAAAGTTCACTTTTATAATGAAGGTGTAAGAAGAGTTTTGGTCAGTCTCTTAAGAACAGTATTTTATTTATAATGCCTTGAAGACAGGTTACATGGTTACTCTTTCTATAATAATACTAAAACAGCTTTCATTATAACTATTTCTGTACTCGTGAAATGTTATTATTAAGAGTATTTATATTTCGTAGGAGCTTTAATTTGTGTGTTTATGACATGTCGGGCATGTCCCGACCTGGTATTACCTTGTTATCATGTAACCATGGTAACAAGGTATTATTTATATAAAGAAACATTTTCATGATTCATTACATTAATTAATATTCCAATATAGGTTTTAACCAGAAATACAAATGAGCATATTTTGTTAGGTATTTACATTTACAGGTATAAACCTTGTATGGGTATACTCTGTTGATAGTTGCCTCTTTAACCTTCATGAAATTCCCTCCCTTTTTCTGTATTTGTTGACTGTGTGCACACGTGTGCGTGTAGACTCTATCTTGTTTGTAAGATTTACAAAGGCTTGTAACACCTGCCGCGTCCACAGGCCACAAGGAGTATGGTAGTGGCGGCTGATAATGGTGCTGCGCTATGGGCGGAGTTAAGCAGGGAGGTGGGGGCCCTGGACGCTCACGCCCGCTATGAGTTCTGGGTCACCGCCTCCACCCGGGTGGGTGAAGGTGCCTCCTCCGCCATCATATCCAAGACCCCTTCCTCTACAGGTAATGTACTTTTATCATCACCAGAGCCAAGTTATTTTTAAGAGTCGAGTGCCAAATTCACTTTGTTTCCATAGCAGGACCCCTGCAACACTTACAGCAGAGTTTATATGACCAGGACCACAGTAGCACATTCAGCAGTGTGCTTACATGGTTAGGATCACTGTACAACACACAGTATTGTGTTTATATAGTTAGGACCACTGAAATACACACAGCCAGGCATGTAGGACATGGTAGTGCAGTCATCAGAAGGATAAACCCTTAGTGCAAACTGCATATATCAGAGGATGACAACATGGTGACAATCAGTGTCTTTCAAGCCTGGTATATAATCATTTTTACATTACAATTAAGACTAATAATTTTTCTTGAAGTTTTATTATTGAAATGGGAATATAAAATATTTGACACATAATTGTGAATACTGTACTAGTAAATTGTATATGTAGATAATAGATGTAAACAAAGTTCTCTGACAGCAGCTGTATTGCTAACTTGTGAGAAAATGTGGAACTATGAGGAAGTGAAAATGAATTCATTATGATTACTTATTTCTTTTAAAGCAGACAACCTCACCAGATGTGGGTGTTTTTTGTACTAGGAAACATGCATGCATACCTAGTCATGACTGCTCATTCTCATGGGCTTGGGTGGCATCAGCCTGTACATTAATAGGAGTCATCAGATATCACTGAGCCAGTCCTACTTAATGAGGCATGGAGGTCAATCCCAACCACTCTATGGCACTCGCCATATAATCACAATTCACAATTGAAAGTTGAGAGGCTAACTGCACAACCTATTCTCATTATAGCACTTCAAATTTTGAAATACCCTTTACCTAAGGCCAGAAACTGATGTACAAGAAAATGGTAGTGGCTTGTGAAATTGACATAATGTCCAGTTTTCTGTTTGTGGGGTCCTCTGGTAGGTTAGACATCATTACATTCATTACACTTCATTGCAGCTAATCAGCATAAAAAAAATCCAGTTTCTGATCGATTCTCACCATATTTACATAGTGTGCACAGCTGTCTGTTCTACAATCCCTCTAGAATGGATTATTCATAAATCCTAAACATTTGGAGTTGTACATTATTTTTTCTAAATTTGGCGCCTATTTTCAAATGCCATATTGACAATTTTGTTTACAATAAACTGTACTGAAAACCTATATTCTAAATTTATGAAAATGAAGATCACATGTTATTCTGAGAGCATAACACCAAATAAACAATTGGTTATACGTATTTTATATTTTTTCAGCTGATTTCAAAATCTAAAGTTTTCAATATTCCATTTTAGAATTATTTTAGATTTTCTTGTTTTTGAAGTTACATTGGTGATCATTTTGACAAAAGTTGAAGCATTTGCTAGTAGATTATGCACACAAAATTTGAAAGCATTTGTGCAAGTTTCAGAAACTTGGTAATATGCCCAATTGCCTATGTTTGTATGAATTGTGCAGTCTAAGGGTTAAGGTGCTTCAGATTCTTCAAAAAATATTATATTTGGTTTGCATTTTAGGGAAATGTATCATCTGCTTTTGAAGAAATGGAAAAACTGCAAAACTTAAACAAATATTATATAGAAGTGTATATTATAGTATAATATTATATCCCTGCATCTGCTGTAGTCATACAACTAAGGGTACATTAAACCCACAGGGATATATACTGTTTGTACAAAGAGGTGTACCATGCTCTCATTTTATATATATTGAAGGCAAAAAACGTATTTTCTAGTTGGTTAGTAAACGAGTGTCTCGGCTATAATAATGATAGACCTTCATAATTAAATAATTTTAATAAAAGGGATATACACAGTTTATTTTAGTTCAGAACTAAAGCATTCTGGGATACACAAGTAACAGCAGCTGGCAGCAACAGTCAAATAAAATTGCAGACTGGTCAGTAACCTAGTGTGTTGACTTTAATAACCCTAATATGTTTTGTCTAGTGGCAGCCAGGATCAGGTCATTCGGGCAGGTGGTGGAGGTGCAGGCAGGGTCGTCTTTGACACTGCCTTGTGCTGTGGTAGGCACTCCACCGCCAGCTGTCACCTGGACTCACCGAGGACGTGACAACATTCCCCAGGCACAGGTACGTGTTTGTGTGGTTACCTAAGTGTAGTTACAGAATGAGAGCTATGCTCATGATGTCCCATTTTCCCAGCACTGTCATATAAAGCTTTGTAACTACTGAATGTTTTGGCCTCCACCACCACCTCACTTAAATTGTTCCAACTGTCTACCACTCTGTTTGCCAAAGAATACTGACATTTTTTGGAGCAACTTTGTTTCCTTAGCTTAAATCTGTGACCTCTTGTTCTTGAGGTTGCCGCTTTCAGGAATTCCTTTGCCAGTTTTGTCACATCCAGTTATTTTGCAAGTGGTGATCCTATCGCCTGTTTTTCTTTTATCTTCCAGCTTTGGCATATTTAATGCCTTTAACCTCTCTTTATAGTTTTTCAGTTTTGGAGGCCATTTTGTAGCATTCCTTTGCACCTTTTCCAGTTTACTGATGTGCTTCTTGATTCATGGGTACCTTACAACTGCTGCATATACTGGTTTTGGACTCACAAGTCATGAACAGTTTCTTTAGTATTTCACCATCCATGTAACTAGGTGATTCTGAAGGTAGGAAGTGTAGCATATGCTTCTCGCACAATGTCCTTTGTGTTCCTCTGGTGACAATCTGAAAAACAGATTGTCACCAGAGGAACTGGTGTCACAAAACAGTTTCTGAAACAGCCTTTTGTGTGGGATTCTGTCAAGATATTTTTTTTAGGTCCAGATAGTTGACCCAACCACCTCTTTCCTGTAGAATCTCTGTAGCTCTGTCATAAAAACTAAGTAGATATATTACACAGGATCTTCCTGTTAGAAAACATAATGTCTGTCTTATATCATTACTCTCCAGGCAAGAGCTAGCGGATCTCTTTGAACATCCGTGTATAAACAATATGGTGTCTGATGTCACAACTGTGTGTATAGCATTTATATATTTATATGTGTATCTGATGACCCTGTAAGTCCACATCACATATTATCCTGTTTCATATAACATCTCGTTCCTGATCAAAGAACACTTATCATAATCAATTGCAGATTCATCAAAGAAGCTTATTCGCTGATAGCCTATTTATAATATCAAAAGTCATTATTAGGGCCACTTTAATATGAACTTCCTCATTATAAGAACCTATGTATGGTGCTTCAGTCTCCCTGGCTTGGTGCCTTCTTTTGATACTTTTAATTACTTCAGAGCCTATTCATCATATAAGCATATTTATATATGAATTAGCCTTTTCATAAAAAAATCATGACGCCATAAAAGTCTATCCATAATGAATCTATTCATAATAAAACTCCACATCATAAAACCTCTTCTTCATAAAATAATTTAATCTCCATAAGTGCCTGTGATAATTGGCAAAGTTGGAGGTGTATTGGGAACACTGTCATTTCCTTGTGACAGACACTGCCAGACAACTCCCTGCACATGTCGGTGGTGGGGGCAGATGCTGCTGGCAACTACACTTGTCACACCCACAATCCTAGTGGGCGTGACGAGGCCACCTGGGTGGTGCAGGTGATTCAGACTCCGCCTCCGCCCACACTGAGAGTCCAGTATGCCACGGAGACAGCCATACACCTGTCCTGGGATCCACCTGCGGATGGTGGCAAGGCCATTACAGGTGAATGACCACTAGTTGTAATTCAGCTTCATATTACTGTTATTTTGGTTAAAATGTGGGCAACTTCATTACTTATATTGATGGATAATGTCTGTCAGTACAATGTCAACCAATACATGTTTGAATATATAATTATATACAGGAGTCAATATGTAGCATAATTCACTGGTCTCACCTATGTGACTAGTAATGTTGTATTTGATAAAAAGTTTCAACAAAAATGGTTTAGGAAATTGACATAGGGTAAGTTAGGTACTGCAATCTTGTCTAGGTGATATTTGCCTTTTATCACAATATTTAGTATTTAGCTCTTAACATGTAGAAGACTGTTGTGGTTTGTACAACACATGAGGCATTTGTGGGTAGTGTTCCACTTATGGTAACTAACTAGATAAATCCAACAAGGAACAACTTCCAAGCCAGGGATTATTTTATATTTATTTATTTATAAATTCAAGAGTTCTTACGTTCTTGTAAAGCCACTAGCACTCACAGCATTTGGGGCAGATCCTTAATTCTAATTTTTTCCCTGGAATATGACAATGCCAAATCATTTAACAACCAGGTACCCATTCACTGCTGGGTGAACAGAGGCTACAGTTAAGTCTTGGTGCCTGGTCAATCCTCCTCGGCCAGGATACGAACCCAGGCCAAAGCGCTCGTGAAGTGCTGGGCGAGTGCTTTACCACTGTGCCATGGGGATCAGTTGGGAGAGTTGGGTTAGGGAGTTCAAATAAATATATTGAATTATAACATGGTATACTAGATGCAGTGTGTAGGGCAAGCATGTCAGACATGCGGCCATTTGCAAGCACACCTGCGGGCCACACAAAGTATACTGTAATTTGGTCATTAAACAACCAAAATTGCAGTTTTTTATAATTTAAATTTTTATTAAAGACTTCAATTCGTTGTTGTGTGTAGCCCTAATGACAACACAGATGTGACCCATATGGCCCTCGGGCGACCCTCGGTTTGACATGCCTGGTACTGTATTGAGTTATATATTTAGTTTACAAACAGTAATCTGGATGTGTGAAAACAAAAGTCATTACATGTTAAAAGATGGATATAGTTTGTGTTCATTTAATATCTTAGTTCTAAAATTAAAATTGTGATTTTTTTTATGGAAGTATGTACAGTATATTGATAAAGTACTGTAAAGGAAATGCTAAAACGTATAATTGAGGAATCGGTACATAATTATATATGTTAATGAGAAGTACAGTAGTGTAACGTCCTTTATGCCTATCTGCAGGTTACGTCATACGGTACAGCCTGGAGGAGGAGGCGGCATGGGTGGAGGAGGTGGTGGAGCCAGGAGAGGCGACCTACAGCCTGCAGCAGCTGCGATGTGGCTCCACCTACCGCCTGCAGGTGGCAGCCATCAACCTGGTGGGGCGCGGAGAAGCCTCCCGCACCGTCAACACCAGGACCCGAGGCGCTGGTTGGTGCTTTATGCCTACTTGTATTTCAGTTCCTGTTGTCGATGACTGTAAGCCTGTACTAGACTGATTGAGATACCCGTAGGTCAGCTACTGACCCTCCCCAGGATGTAACCCACAGCAGTTGCCTAACTCCCAGGCACCTATTGACTGCTAGATAAACAGAGGCATTGGTTATAGGAAACTTGCCCAACTTTCACTGTCTTGGCCAGGGGAATGAACCCAGGTTCCTAGGTTGATCCAGGGGTGTCGATTACTGTGCATCAGAGCTCATTTTCATTACCATTTACATTTAATTAACAAAATTATCGTTATCTTATCAAAAGACATTGATTTTCATTAGTTATATTGAAATGGTTTTCATATGCATTTTAATAGAAAAATATTCCAAAATCTTTAATGCGCTCCTGATTTCAAGAGCGCATTCTTGAAATCAGAATGCGCTCATTGAAAATCATTCAGGAATAATGGAAACAGCTCATGTATCAGTTTCCATTATTATATCCAACTTTCATATCACTAAGTATCCCTGTGTCATCCTGTTACACCAGAAATTGTATTCAGCTACCTATAAATCATTAATGGTAATTTTCCCTTTGATGTACACCAACCACATATCTATGCACTCGTACATAATCACCCCAGTCCACACTCCTATAATTACCCCCCCTCCCCAATCCACACTCCTCCATAACTATCCCCACCCAACATTCTTCCATAACTATCCCCACCCAACATTCTTCCATAACTATCCCCACCCAACATTCTTCCATAACTATCCCCACCCAACATTCTTCCATAACTATCCCCACCCAACATTCCTCCATAACTATCCCCACCCAACATTCCTCCATAACTATCCCCACCCAACATTCTTCCATAACTATCCCCACCCAACATTCCTCCATAACTATCCCCACCCAACATTCTTCCATAACTATCCCCACCCAACATTCCTCCATAGCTATCCCCACCCAACATTCTTCCATAATTATCCCCACCCAACATTCTTCCATAACTATCCCCACCCAACATTCCTCCATAACTATCCCCACCCAACATTCTTCCATAACTATCCCCACCCAACATTCCTCCATAACTATCCCCACCCAACATTCTTCCATAACTATCCCCACCCAACATTCCTCCATAGCTATCCCCACCCAACATTCCTCCATAACTATCCCCACCCAACATTCTTCCATAACTATCCCCACCCAACATTCTTCCATAACTATCCCCACCCAACATTCCTCCATAGCTATCCCCACCCAACATTCCTCCATAACTATCCCCACCCAACATTCTTCCATAACTATCCCCACCCAACATTCCTCCATAACTATCCCCACCCAACATTCTTCCATAATTATCCCCACCCAACATTCCTCCATAACTATCCCCACCCAACATTCTTCCATAACTATCCCCACCCAACATTCCTCCATAACTATCCCCACCCAACATTCCTCCATAACTATCCCCACCCAACATTCCTCCATAACTATCCCCACCCAACATTCCTCCATAACTATCCCCACCCAACATTCCTCCATAACTATCCCCACCCAACATTCCTCCATAACTATCCCCACCCAACATTCCTCCATAACTATCCCCACCCAACATTCTTCCATAACTATTCCCACCCAACATTCCTCCATAACTATCCCCACCCAACATTCCTCCATAACTATCCCCACCCAACATTCTTCCATAACTATCCCCACCCAACATTCCTCCATAACTATCCCCACCCAACATTCCTCCATAACTATCCCCACCCAACATTCTTCCATAACTATCCCCACCCAACATTCCTCCATAACTATCCCCACCCAACATTCCTCCATAACTATCCCCACCCAACATACTTCCATAACTATTCCCACCCAACATTCCTCCATAACTATCCCCACCCAACATTCCTCCATAACTATCCCCACCCAACATTCCTCCATAACTATCCCCACCCAAAATTCCTCCATAACTATCCCCACCCAACATTCCTCCATAACTATTCCCACCCAACATTCCTCCATAACTATCCCCACCCAACATTCCTCCATAACTATCCCCACCCAACATTCCTCCATAACTATTCCCACCCAACATTCCTCCATAACTATCCCCACCCAACATTCCTCCATAGCTATCCCCACCCAACATTCCTCCATAACTATCCCCACCCAACATTCCTCCATAGCTATCCCCACCCAACATTCCTCCATAACTATCCCCACCCAACATTCCTCCATAACTATCCCCACCCAACATTCCTCCATAACTATCCCCACCCAACATTCCTCCATAACTATCCCCACCCAACATTCCTCCATAGCCATCATTCACATCTCGTGCATGCTATAGTGTCACGGGGCTAGCAATTGTTACTCATTATATCCCTCTACCTTTTTCTTGTTGATTACACTCATTCCAAATAATATCTCATAACAATAAAGTAGTATTAGCTATATAAACTACAATGTTTCAGATCTTCATAGTTTTCAACTGAGTTTCTTGCTCTGAATTATAATCTTCAAGCATATAAAGGAAACAGATTTTTTGGTATTTTACGTAAACATTTCCAAACTGTAAAGCAATGACTATTTAATGACTCTGTCTCGGTTAAGTTGTTTACTTTCATAGCGAGAGAATGAAGCATAACAGGTGCCGTATGTATGGACTTGTTTTGATATTGTTGGTGGTGAACAGCACCCCGGCAGCCTCGCCACCAGGACCTGGTTAGTGTCAACTCCTCATCCGTGACCCTCCACCTGTACACCTGGCCCTCCGGAGGCTGCCCCATCACCTGGTTTGCTGTGGACTACAGATCTCACTCAGAAGCTACCTTCACACCTGTGGCTTCCCATTTGGCAGGGGATACTGATGCCGTCACCCTGCCAGAGCTGGCGCCTCTCACCTGGTACCAGCTTCGAGTCACAGCCCATAATGCTGCAGGGTCGGCCACGGCCATGTATGATGTGGCCACAGCCTCGCTCACCGGAGGTAAGTTGTATACAACTTGAACTATTTACTGCTTGTATCCATGTGTTTTCAGATGCCTCTCTTGACATGTCATCCTCCACTGGTTGTCATCCTCCACTAGTTGTGTCATCCTCCACTGGTTGTGTCAACACTGGACATTATTTTTTAACTAGGACTAGGGTTCATTAGGGCTGTCATTTGAAGCGCATGGTGAAACTGCAAGCAAGAGCTGTTATCCTACCTGGCATTTCATCACTGGCCTTTCCAACACTGGCCCTACAGCACTGCATTTAGGGTGTTGTAATACCCAGCCAACACCATAGGCACAATTGTAATACCCAGCCAACACCATAAGCACAATTGTAATACCCAGCCAACACCATTTAATTTTCTACAATTTTCTACACCTATAATTTTCAGCATCATATTTAACTTTGATCATTTTTGGTTTCAAAATGCTTCATGTCTGCTGCAATAAAAATTACATGTTATATATTGCAAAATTGAAATGAAATTACATTTTTTTATTAATGTTGATAAATTCACTGAACTGGATTTCATGTTTTGTCTTATTTTCTTAACATATCTGTTTAAAATTTAAAAATGTTAAAGATAAAGTATCTTGGGAACCAATAAATTAGTTGAAAACAAATAAGTATAATTTTTAGGTAAGCATGATATAAATTTTGTCGTTCAATACATGTCTGCCTTACTGCAGTAGGCCTTACAGTTTAACCCCCTAAGCTGCTCTGGGCTATTTGGCCTTCAACACCCACAGATGCATAAAAAAAAAATTTAAAACGATTATTTTGTCTGATAAGTCTTCATTTGTGTTCCCTGATCACGGGAAAAATAATACAAAATCATAGGTGGCATATTTTGGCCACAATAGGATGGGGAAGTCTGGCAAAAAGAGGCGATGACAGAACAAGCGTCGGAGGCGGTCAGCTCTGCCCGAGCTGTCGAGATATTATTACTTAATTATTTCAATGTCTCAAGGTAAACAAGGATGATGACCAGACCACACACTAGAATGTGAAGGGACGACGACGTTTCGGTCCGTCCTGGACCATTCTCAAGTCGATTGTGATGAGGAAGTAGAGACAGGCAATAAATAGGCACGAGAGATGAGGAGCAAAGTAAGGTGTAGTAGAGGGGCTAGTAGTAGGAACTGCAGAGGGCCTATTGGCACATACGAGGCAGTTCCTATTATAACCACCGAAAGAGAAGGAGAAAATAAGGATTAGAGGAAAACGAGGGAACGTAGGAGAAGACAATGAACAGAAAAAAGAGAGAAAAGAGAAAGAAAGGAAAGAGAAAGAAAGGAAAGAGAAAGAAAGGTAAATAGAAAAGGATATCCAAATTGGTTTGACATGTTTTGAACACCGCTACCGAGTCTTGGATACAGTTGGGTCTTAGAGTAAAGCTTTGTCACCTACCAGTTATTGTAATGGAGGTTATTTGTTATATTGTTGCCAGTTGTTTGTGTCTTACAGTGACCCCTCCCATAAACTTTGACTGACTGGGATAGTGATGGCCTCATTTTCTGGGGGGAGCCCCTAGGGGCTCCCTGAAGCTACAGTGCTGATATAGTGCCAGACTACTATTTGCCAGTCACAGAGTTCTTTTAGGTCTACTGGAGACCACAAGCTAGAACCTGGCCCCCTCTAATGAGGTGCAGAGACCAGTGGCACTATGATAAAATTGTCAGATAATTTTAATCATGTCTGCCACCACTGGGAAAGCATCCATAAAGTTAGTGAAACAAAACACACTGCTTGTTATAAAAAATAGTAAGACCTCAAAATTGCTAAAAGAACTTCTCCAAAATGTAAACAAATGATAGAAATCTCATGAAACTAGTATTACAGTAGTTTCTTCTCCCCACCAGGACTCGCCCAGAAATTGGCATTTCAATACATTCAGTGCTGTTTTTTTTTGTAGTTTAGTGTTCAATCCCTGATGGACCAAGTGGTTGGGTACTGTTCCTTCACCCCATCTTCATAATCTAGATCCTTGTCCTCATTTCCCTTCCAAGTTATGTATAGTCATTCTGGCTAAGCACTTTCTCCTAATTACCATTTGTGACAGCAACCCTGGCACCGGAGTCTGTGATAGAGGTAGTTCAGAGCAGCGGGGCACCTCTCTTCCTGGACCCTCACGTGCTGGCACCGGTGGTGTCTGGCATTGCCTGCACCCTCGCTCTCCTCTTGTGTGTGGGCCTCCTTGTATCCAGAGGGTAAGTTTTCTCCTAGTTTACATGTTATTCTTTGATCTTGTGATAATCTAGTTTACACAGAAGTCATAGTTTTGTAAATTTATATTGCACTCTTAAACTGGCTTATAATTTTGTCCAGTACTTACTAATAATGCATAATTATGTACTTGGGACAAACTTTAGCAAGAAAAAATCTAAATGTCCAAATATCAAAATATTTGTTTTTCCTTGCTCCTTAGGCTAAAGTTGCCCAATGACAGTAAAAGTACAATATCTTGGTTAACGATGTCCCTGTCCCATGGACTTCATCATCAGTATATCCGGTAGTTTACTGAACTCTGACAATTAAGGTCTGCAAGTGAAGGGCAGCCAACGTGTTTCACCAACACTCATATCTTTATTTACATATTATTTAAATTAAGTTTGAGGCTGTTTTGTATCCCAGCTCTTAGTCTGTCTCGTATCCCTTCCATGTGCTATACAATATTCACACAGACTTGATGCTCTCACCTGATAATTACCTTTCCTTTTCTTAATATTTTCATCAGTCGTGCCCGCTTCATCAAGGATAACACTGAGGGCCCTGGAGAGGGGCAGAGAACCAGCGGGGGCCCCACCTACTCCCGCTCACTGGCCGAGCTGCAGAACCATCGGAATGACAGCCAGGAGCAGCTCTCCCCTACAGCCAGGGCCAAGCACGATGAGGCCTACACAGGTAAGCATCTTTCCTGTCTTTGTTTCACGTTGAGCTTTATATTTTTATTATTATTATTATTATTATTAATATATTATTTACAGAGAAATCTCACTAACGTGATATATGAATGAGAAAAACGACTTGGGCTCTGAGGCGCCTCAAACCTGTGACAGATAATCCCGGATGCTGACGCTAGCCTCTGGACCACCCTGACTTTGAAAAGTCATACAACTGGATTCCTACTGAAATGACAGGAAGTCTGGAGGTCTCTACTGAAGCCAGTCCAAATTTTACGTATGGCCCCCCAGGTGTAGGCAACATAGTTCATCCACTGTATGCTAAATCAGATGCACAGGAATCACACTAACATGATGTATATCGATGAGAAAATTGAGTAGAAATCCACTTGTATGATTTTTCAAGTCAGGGTGGTGCAGACGTTGGTATCAGTGGCCGGGATTCTCTGTTGCAGGTTAAAGTCACCTCTGAGCTCAAGTTGATTTTCTCACTCGTATATATCATGTTAGTGAGATTTCTGTGTATCTGATGTTGGAGCATAAAGTGGATGAACTATGTTGCCTATGCCCGGGTGCTTGGGGCCATATGTATAATTTGGACTGGCTTCAGTAGAGGCCTCCAGACTTCCTGTGATTTCAGTAGGAATCCAGCTGTTGGACTTTTCAAAGTCAGCATGATCCAGAGGTTAGCGTCAGCATCCGGGATTATCAGTCACAGGTTTGAGGCGCTTCAGAGCCCAAGTCATTTTTCTCATTCATATATATCATGTTAGTGTGATTTCAATCTGTAAATAATAATAATAATAATAATAATTAATAATAATAAATAATAATAATAATAATAATAAGTAATAATAAGTAATATAACATCGCCACTCTGCAGACAAATGTATACCAGTGGTCAGTTCTCCAACTGAGCAGGCAAAGTGATTGGGTAAATGATAAAAGATGAACAATGCTACCTTCCTTCTGATTGGTGATAGGAAAAGTAGTACCCTTTTTATGTCAAGCCACAAGTGAACTGAAACAAAATCCCTAATAACTTTGCATGAACACCTTTCTGTTTATCCCTGAATTTGATCTGAGGGATGTTCATAGTTATTGAAAATGTTTATGATGGCCATTAGAAAAGGCACGTGATGAATCTAGGTCACGACTTACATGGTGTAGATACTGATTACATAGTGCAAATATTGAGTGTGCATGGGAGAACAAATATTGAGAGTGCATGGGAGACTACTTCTGTAGTTGAGATGCCACTCTTTTATCAGTATATAGTGTGCCATTTTATTTATTCTGTTCACCTTCTGTCCCAATCTTTTATTTGTGAACACATTTTTCATGTAGTTTTATTATTCCCATGTGTGTGCATGGAGAAAATGGCTGATGACTCTAGGCTCCAGTAACCTTCACATCCAAATTAGCAGCTCCAAAATTAACCAAGCTTACTAGGATGAGTTTTCCCAGAGTTAGAGGCCAGGGTAAACAGTAAACCAAACAATGAATAGTGTCATTAGTGATGACAACATATAGATAACAACTCTAGTTATTCGTGTACATGTCAAGTAATGCATCTAAATTTTAGTGTACATTCTTCATGACTAAACTGCATATGTTAGAAAACTTGTAGAATGTTGAGTAATATGTTAATATTATATATTTATCAGAGTCCAGTATGTTCATGTACAAAGCACAGTACACTCTACACTAATCCAGGGATACACACACCAGTCACACTGCTGCAGGTTCCAGGATAAATCATATTCTCTAAGTGTTGGGAGCAAAGTGAGGGCTGTAAGTGGTATCCCAAAATACATGAAGGTGTAGGGATTTTGAAAAGGACCTAAGAGTCAAGAAATAAATGCAAGTGATTGAAAAATCTGGGTTGGAAACGTTGATTTTCCCAAACAGCAGATTGCCAACAACAAAGATGGCCACCACCACAGGGGAGGACAGTACACCAACAAATGAATGTTTTGAAGGTTTCTCAGCACAAGATCTAATGAAAGGTGGTTTACTTGGCAGGCTAGTGATTATTGAGGACATGCTAAGAATTATGAAGAAAAGGTGATTAAATTAGAAGAAGAGAATGGTCTCAAGATCGAATTTTGTAATTTAAAAGGAAGTATTTTCCTGCAAAGTAAGGAAATAACCAGTTTGACTGATAAGTTAAGGATACGGGTGACACACATCAAGGAACTAGTGAAAGATAATGAGGCATGGAAAGTGAAGAGTGGTGAATTTGAAGAAATAAACAAGAAAATACTCATATGGTGAACAACTCCATGGAATCCCGAGAGCTAACATGGAGTTAGGCAAGGATATGCAAGGAGAAACTTCATTGACAACTCACATAGAGGAAGTTAATGAATACTAGCAAAGTATGAAGAAGAAATAAGAGAAGTATGTACAAGGTGCAAAAGACAGAGACAATCAAGGAAGTGTTTGGAAGTCAAAGCCAGAAATGACAAACAAAGAAGTGGAAATCAGGCAGGCAATTAGGAAAGAACTGGTAACCAACAGTAAACTGGTAAAAAAACACTGCAGATAGAAGCAAGTCCTTAATTTCCTTTTCTAAAGATAAGGAAATATCACCTCGGGTGGACGGAGCAGCAGCAGATGAAAATCACAAAGAAAATAGTAGGATTAGAAGAGGGCCTAAATTCAAAGGAGCAGGTTAGTGATTTTAAGAGGATAGGAAAATGCGACAAGAACCAAATGTTAAGGATGACCTTTAATCGAGTGAAACAAATGACGGAAGTGCTTAGAAATGCCAGGAAATTGCAAATGTGATGAGGATGGCAAACTTTGGTCAATAAGGAAGGGAGGGAGGGAGTCGGTCGGCCAAGCGGACAGCACGCTGGACTTGTGATCATGTGGTCCCGGGGTCGATCCCGGGCGCCGGCGAGAAACAATGGGCAGAGTTTCTTTCACCCTATGCCCCTGTTACCTAGCAGTAAAATAGGTACCTGGGTGTTAGTCAGCTGTCACGGGCTGCTTCCTGGGGGTGGAGGCCTGGTCGAGGACCGGGCCGCGGGGACACTAAAGCCCCGAAATCATCTCAAGATAACTTCAAGATAAGGCAAGACCTCTCAAAGGAAGACAGAGAAAAGCTGAAAATGAACTTCATTGAGGTGAAATGTCTAAATGGGGATAGAAATGAAGATGAATGATTTTTTCCTACAAAGTTTTAGGGACTGGAAAGATAGTGAAATGGTACATAAAAACAAAGTAACAAAATCAATAGAGGAAGGGAAAGTGAAAAACAAAGGGAAGGGGGAACATGTTCCTGAAAATAGTATATACCAACATAGATGGTTTGAGATAAAAAAAAATATTGGAGCTGAAAGATATAATTCAGCATAAGGTCCTAGATATTGTAGCATTAACAGACAAAACTTGAAGAAAATATTTTAAATGAGGTCATATTCCCAAGGGGCTATTCAGTTTGGAGACGTGACAGGAAAACTAGGAAGGGGGGAGGAGTGGCTGTGCTGGTGAAAGAACGCCTGCAGGTAAGGGTGTTAATACTTGATAACCCTAGAGAAGTTGACATAATGGCATAGCAGGTCTGGTATCAGGATGATAGACTGATAATTGTAAATGTCTACAGCCCACCAGCAAGCAACACATGGACAAGGAATGAACTGGATGACAAACGAGAGGGCCTCATAATGGTCACAAGAGAGATTATAGTAAATGCAGATAAAGATAAATTACAATTGTTCGTACTGGGGGACTTCAACTTTAAAGCAATAGATTGGGAGGCCTACGAAGCAAGAATGGAAGACATGTGGACAGGCAGATTTGTAAACCTCATTCTGGAGACATTCATGTATCAACACGTCAAGTAGCCACAAGAATGATGGAAGGGAATGTTGAGGTCAGTACTGGATCTAATATTCACCAGGAAAGAAGAGATATTTGACATCAGGTACCTTCCTTGGGAAAGAGTGATCATGTCCTGTTGGACATTACATATGCTTTGATATATAATCTAGAAGAAAATGGGGACATAGAAAAAGTTGTTACTCGATTTCAAGAGGGGACACTGTGGACCTTAGAATTTTTTTTAATGAGTATAATTGGACAGACTTGTTGCTAGGCAAGGAAGTAATTGATGTATGCAAAAATTTGTGAAATATACAATGAAGGCTCACAAACATTTATACCAAAACAGAGATGTAGACCTATTAAACAGTATTGGTTCAACAGAAATTGCGAGAGGGGCAGAGACTAAAAGACACAAAAATGGAATCAATATAGGAAGAGGCCAAACCCCCAAACATACCAGCAATACAAAGATGCAAGAAACAACTACTCGGCAGTTAGGAGAGAGGCAGAAAGAGATTTTGAAAAAGGGATTGCGGACAAATGTAAAACAGAAACTGGCCTTTTCTATGCATTCATAAACAACAAATTGCAGGTAAAGGATAATATTCATAGGTTGAATATGGGAAACAGATTCACGGAAATGAAAGTGTGAAACATTAAACAAAAAGTTCCAAAGTGTGTTTATACAGAATTAAATCTTCAGGGAACCAGACATAATAGGAATTGCAGAGAACATAAAGCACATAGAGGTATCTAGAAACAAAGTAGAAAACTGCTCAAGGAGCTAAGAACAAAGCAGTTGGCCCAGATGGAGTTTCACCATGGGTTCTGAGAGAATGTGCACCCAAACACAGCATTCCACTTCAACTGATTTTTCAGACATCTTTGTGTACAGGAGTTGTAGCAGATGTGTGGGGGGGGGGGGGAACTAACATAGTCCCAATTTGAAAAAGTGGCAGCAGGGAAGACCCCCCTCAATTATTGACCTGTCTTGCTGACAAGTGTAATAGTCAAAATATTGGAAAAATAATTAAAACTAAATGGGTAGGACATCTGGAGAAAAACAATATCAATAACAGGCCGTTAGTATAGTTTTCGATCTGGAAGATCCTGTTACAGAATTTACTACTGTATTTCTATGATAGAGCCACAGAGATTTTACAGGAAAGAGATGATTGTCGTTAACTGCATCTATCTGGACCCAAAAAAGGCTTTCAACAGAGTTCTACATAAGAGGTTGTTCTGGAAACTGGAACATATTGGAGGGGTGACAGGTAAGCTTCTAACATGGATGAAAAATTTTCTAACTGATAGAAAAATGAGGGCAGTAATCAGAAGTGTATTGGACTGGAGAAATGTCACAAGTGGAGTACCACAGGGTTCAGTTCTTGCACCAGTAATGTTCATTGTCTACATAAATGATCTACCAGATGGAATGCAGAATTATATGAACATGTTTGCTGATGATGCTAAGAAAATAGGGATGATAAGTAGCTTAGATGATTGTCATGCCCTTCAAGAAGACTTGGACAAAATAAGTATATGGAGCACTACTTGGCAAATAGAATTTAATGTAAATAAATGCCATGTTAGGGAATGTGGAATAGAACATACACCCCACAACCTATAAATTATGTGAGAAATCATTAAAGAATTCTGATAAAGAAAGAGATCTAGGGGTGGTTCTAAATAGAAAACTATCACCTGGGGCTCGCATAAAAAACATTGTGTGAGAGGCCTATGCTACACTTTCTAACTTCAGAATTGCTTTTAAATACATGGATGGCAAAATACTAAAGACATTGTTCACGACTTTTGTTAGGTCAAAGTTGGAATATGCAGTGATTGTATGGTACCCGTATCTTAAGAAGCACATCAACAAACTGGAAAAGGTGCAAAGACATGCCACTAAAAGGCTCCCAGAACTGAAGGACAAGAGCTACGAGAAGAGGTTAGAGGCATTAAATATGCCCAAACTAGAAGATGGAAGAAAGAGGCGATATTATTACTACGAACAAAATAGTAACAGGAATTGATAAAATTGATAGGTAAGATTTCGTGAGACCTGGAACTTCAAGAACAAGAGGTTATAGATTTAAACTAACTAAACAAAGATGCTGTAGAAATATAAGAAAATTCACTTTCGCAAACAGAGTGGTAGACGGTTGGAACAAGTTAGGTGAGAAGATGGTGGACACCAAAACTGTCAGTAATTTAAAAGCGTTACAGGAGTGCTGGGAAGATGGGACATCACAAGCGTAGTTCTCATCCTGTAACTACAGAATCTATCAGGACCTAACCAACCACAGATTAGAGAACTACTTAGATTCTGTGACAAATTTTCACTCAATCAGCAGATATCGGAGCCAACGAGAAATGAAAATATTCTAGATCTGGTCTTTATGAACAATGAAGACATTATCAGAGACATTACGATATCAGATACCACATACTCAGATCACAAGCTCATTGAAGTGCAAACGACCATCAATACTCAGAATAGACCTAAAACATTTATAAAGCGAGAGGGGATATTCAGTAAATTCAATTTTAATAATAAAAGGATAGACTGGGAGATAATAAACAGGGAACTTACAAACATTCCATGGGGAACTGTTCTAAGTAATACAAGTCCTACAGAAGGAATAGAAAAACTGACTTCAGAAGCGTATCGAGTCTGTCTGAAACATGTTCCTTTGAGGAAAGCCAGAAAGAGATCTAACGTAGAAAGAGAACGCAGACGACACTATAAATGCAGGAAAAAAATAACGGAACTGCTTATGCAGACACGAATTTCCCATCAAAGAAGGAATAATTTAAATAGGGAGATTGAAGAAATCAAGCGGAAATTGAAACACTCATATGAAACTGAAGAAAGGCAGTTAGAACAGAAAGCAATTCAGGAAATAAAGAAAAATCCAAAATATTTCTTCTCATATGCGAAATCAAAAGCAAAAACCACTGCCAGTATTGGACCTATTCGTACAAGTGAAGGTTCATACACGGAGGATGACAAAGAAATTAGTGAAATCCTAAAAAAGCAGTATGAGGATATGTTTAGCACTCCAATAAACAACATGAAGGTGGAAGATTCAGACAATTTCTTTATGCGGGATATTCAAACCCCTGTAAATATAACTGATATAAACACGAGCGCACTAAATTTTGAAAGAGAAATTGAAAACATGCCCATGCACTCGTCCCCAGGTCCAGACTCATGGAATTCAATATTTATAAAGAAATGCAAAATGCCGGTAGCACAGGCACTCAGTATAGTGTGGAGGAAGAGCTTGGACACGGGGGAGATACCAGATGCACTTAAAGTAGCAGACATAGCCCCTCTACACAAGGGAGGGAGCAAAGCATTGGCAAAAAATTATAGACCAGTTGCACTAACATCGCACATCATAAAAGTAGTTGAGAGAGTGATTAGGAGTCAGGTCACCAATTTCATGGAGACCAATGACCTTCACAACCCAGGCCAACATGGATTTCGAGCGGGAAGATCGTGCCTCTCACAGCTACTTGAGCACTACGACAAAGTCACTGAGGCATTAGAAGAAAAACAGAATGCTGATGTGATATACACGGACTTCGCAAAGGCTTTTGATAAATGTGACCATGGCGTGATAGCACACAAAATGAAGTCAATGGGAATAACCAGTAAAGTAGGACGCTGGATACTCAGTTTTCTGTCAAACAGGACTCAGCGAGTAACGGTCAACCATATAAAATCTAGTCCAAGTGCAGTAAAAAGCTCTGTACCTCAGGGTACAGTCCTTGCACCGCTGCTTTTCCTTATTCTCATATCAGATATAGACAAAAATACAAGTCACAGCTTCGTATCATCCTTTGCAGATGACACAAAAATCAGTATGAAAATTACCTCGGCTGAAGACATTGAAAAACTTCAAGCTGATATTAATAAAGTTTTCGACTGGGCATCAGAAAATAACATGATGTTTAACAGTGATAAATTCCAGGTACTTAGGTACGGTAAAAATGAGGACCTTAAACATAATACAAAGTACAAAACACAATCAAATGTACCCATAGTAGGAAAACAGCATGTAAAGGATTTGGGAATAATAATGTCTGACGACCTAATGTTTAAGGAGCATAACCAAGCAAATATTGCGACAGCCAGAAAAATGATAGGATGGATTACGAGAACTTTCAAATCCAGGGATCCCATCACAATGGTTGTACTCTTCAAGTCACTTGTGTTGTCCCGTCTTGAGTACTGCTCAGTACTCACTTCCCCCTTCAGAGCAGGAGAGATTGCTGAAATAGAGGGAATACAGAGAACATATACGGCACACATAGACGCAATAAAGCCCCTAAATTATTGGGATCGTCTCAAAGCCCTCCAAATGTACTCACTAGAAAGAAGACGAGAGAGATATTAAATAATATACACCTGGAAGATACTGGAGGGCCAAGTACCAAATCTACACAGTAAAATAACAACGTACTGGAGTGAACGATATGGAAGAAAATGTAGAATAGAACCAGTGAAGAGCAGAGGTGCCATAGGCACAATCAGAGAACACTGTATAAACATCAGAGGTCCGCGGTTGTTCAACGTCCTCCCAGCAAGCATAAGAAATATTGCCGGAACAACCGTGGACATTTTCAAGAGGAAACTAGATTTATTCCTCCAAGGAGTGCCGGACCAACCGGGCTGTGGTGGGTATGTGGGCCTGCGGGCCACTCCAAGCAACAGCCTAGTAGACCAAGCTCTCACAAGTCAAGCCTGGCCTCGGGCCGGGCTTGGGGAGTAGAAGAACTCCCAGAACCCCATCAACCAGGTATCAACCAGGTACACTTAGGTAATTACTCATACATGAACTTCAGTTTCTCAATATTTCATTGCCACTGCAGAATGCTGAATATACTAAGGTTCCAAATTTGCATTAAATTCTATCATGATGTAAATGATAAATGTATGGTTGTATTTCTCTAAGTTTTATTTATCTAAAATGTTTTCCAAGCTTATGCCATATCTAGTTGGCTTTGTGTGGTGTTATTACTGCAGTCTGTGCTCGTCCTTCCAGCAGCAGCAGCTTGTCTTGTCTTGTTTTGTGTTTTATCTTATCAACACCAAAGGAATTTCCCAGATTTTGTGGCCTTTATTGTATGTAGATTTATCATCTTTGTAGTGTTTTTTTCTGTGTGAGTGATGTTTAAATATGAATATTTTGTTTCTCTCATTTATGGAATGTCTCGGACAATGTCTGCTGAGTTCTAAATGGATTACATCCTTATTAAGTTCCTTACCTTCACACTGACCTATCCTGTGCTTCTTGTCCTTCCTCGTCTAACATCCTCTGACATCCTGGTCTCCCTGATGGCGGGTTTTCTCCCTGGCAGTGGACGAGCCATATGAGATCTGCCCATACGCCACCTTCAGCTTACCGCCTGGTAGCGGCGGCGGCGCCCTCGACTACACGTTGCAGTTTCAGACGTTTGGCCATCAAGACTGTTACGAAGGCCAGCCACAGCCACCAAGGTCCTCCTCCTTTATGGGAGGAAAGAGGCGCGAGGGTGGTGGTGGTGGGGTGGGAGGCACTGGACCCACTGCCGGTAAGCCCCACACACTGCCTCTATCATCCCACTCTCATATTCCAATATTGTCCCCAATAAACCTCCCCACACTCTATTTTCTCAGCAGTCCTATAAAATCCACCATTCCAGCTTTAGTTACAAGACTAGTGTTAAAATTTATGGCACTGCTTGATAAGATAACACACTGCACTGTGTTGATTTTTAACTAAATTGTTATTAAAATGTTAATTGCTAATTGTTGTTATTGCTGGAATGGCCATTTAAGTTTAATTTCATAAAGTAGAATGTGAAATGTGTAGGGCACAGGAATGGCTTAACATGCATGATCAGTGTTACTAGGTGTTGCTTGACATTGAAGATTATGTTGGGTGGAACGTGTGCATTTTCCATGATTTTAAGAAAATGCCCTTGTATAACAAGGTACCCCCTAATTGCAGAGATTGCCTGCATTTCCAGTCAACAAACCCTGCCTATCTCCTCGGCGGGTGTCCGTGGGCGAACGTGCAGGCGGGACAAGGCAGGGGAGGAAGGTCGGGGGTCGGACAGCGAGCAGGACACCAGTGGCAGCCCTGGGGCCACACCTGCCCACGGGGTCAGGGATACATACAAGGTCCCTGTGCGTCTGAGGAGAGGTGAGCCCACCCATAACATCACCTGAGAGTTGGCTGCAACTTGTCAGCATTGCCAATTAGTGGCTTCAAGAGTGTCATTTCCACATTCAAATTTAAAAAAATAAATCATTGTACTTTATTGTAAATATTGAAATATGTATTTCAATAAAATGAGGAAATGACCTGTGAACAAAGTTATTGATCAGAATACTGTGGTGTTTTTCTGGAAAAGTAACTTGAAGGTTTCCTCAACCTCTGGTACACTGGGCAAGTATTATATGATTAGGGAATTAGTAGAAAGTCAGTTACTAATTTATAAAGCTTTAAAAACACTGAAGGGAGCTACAGGGTGAAGGTTTAGTCATGGGCTTAAGGCGTATCAATCACGGGAGGGTTATTAAGGCCACCGCACCTCACTGAATAACCAGCAAGTGTATTTTTTGAACATTGTTCAAGACAAAAGTAAATTCTCAGTGTTTATGCACCAAGCACTTGGTGCATAAAACACTGAGAATGTTTTAATGTTTTGAGAATGTTGGCCTTCAGAAAGGCCTTTAAGGGTTTCCATTAATTTTTTCTTTTTCTATCACCAATTTTTATTATTTATATCTTTTGTTAAGGCTTAGAAAATGCATAATGTTTAAAATCCTTGTCTAGCTCTGCATAGGTGGGATCATGCTCATGGTACAGCAGCCATTTCCACTGTGAGTGCTGGAGCAGGAAACAGGAACCTTGCCCACTAGTTTACTTGGAATACGACCTGCCATTCGCTTAATCAACACATTTTAGTGCTGATAACACACATCAGAAGTAAAATGGCTGAAATACAATTCTTGAATATATAAGCAGGAAGATGGTGTCAGGTGTAAAAGTCTTTAAACATTTGAGCAAGATGAAACAGCAGGAAGTCTGATGACCATTACATATGAGTTTCTGGAAGTATTATCCCTAATACATAAGATTTCCTTGAAGCCCTAAGGGAGTATGTGTATTAGCAATCTTACTAAAGATTGCTTTTAAACGATCCAATAAAAAAGGATCAAAGTTGTACAGATCATTTTAATATTGTATTCAATTACAAAATTGTTCTACAGGTATTATTTTTTTTTTTAATGTATTAGAGGCTTCAATAATGTTTCTATTGAAAATGGTTTTACAATTTGTTCTTAAACACCTCTCTTAATCTGAGAATTTTCTGATAAGTGAACAAATAAAACATTAATAAAAGACCACTTCTTACAGAATATTTTGTGCTGCAAAAGTTAAAATCTCAAATCTTTCGATATATGACCTATATAGAATGTACTAAAGGCTATACAGGGTATTTTGTAGAAGAGCTATTACCGAGAGGTTTTTGTAATAATTTTTCAATAGTATTTTCATGAACATAGTTTCAAAAAGTCTTGACAATATTTTCAAACCCAGAAAAAATTTGGTAATGCTGACTGATTGTCATAGTATGTATGTATGTTGAACCTTGCTACTACAAGCTTTCAAAAAACAACTTCCTAGATAGCAAATTTTGAAATTAATAGAATCAATATTTTCACACTCCCTATCCAAGAACCTCAGGACTAGCAATTCAAAGAGCTCTTGCATATATGGAGGAACAAATAGATTCCTTAACATTATACCTATGCCAGGAGAAATAATGAACATACACTATGACAAATTATTAGGTTTTTCCTGTAGAAATGTTGTACAAATTCTACAAAAATATGTATCAATTTTGTAGAAATCTTTACATTTTTTTATGTTGAAAATCTAAAATTTGTACAGAAATTCTGCTGAAACTCAGTAAAAGCTTCAAAATTTCTACAAAATTTCTACAAAAAGTCTACAGATATCCTACAAACTTGTAAAAAAACTTTAAATTTATAGATTTTCTTTAGAATTTACATACAAAGTTTGTAGAAATTTTGTGCTACATGGTGCACTTTCCCCATGGTTTGGTGCCGCCTTTTGATGATTACATCTGTAGAAATCCTACAAAATTTATTCAGTTGTGCAATTGTTAGTGAGTTTGTACTAGTTATATAGAATTTCTGTATAAATTTTGTGCTACATAGTCCTCCATGGCTTGGCGCCTTCTTTTGATAATTACTAATGTAGAAATTTTGTAGAATTTGTGGAAAGTAAGAACAATTTATGTTTTTAAATTGTAAAAACAATTTCTACACAATATCTATAAAAATTCTATGTATTCCCTACAGATTTTCTACATAATTCCTACATAATTTCTACATAAATTCTACATTATTTCACAGAAAAATATAATTTATACAGAAAATTCTTCTAAAAACTGCAGAATGTAAATTTTTGTAGAGTTCCTGTAGAAAGTTGGTGCTACATAGTACTCTTTTTCCCCCCCTCCCCATGGCTTGGTGCCTTGTTTTGAGAATTACTTCTGTAGAAACAAAATTTCTGCACAATTTCTAATTTTCTACAGAAAATCCACTCAATTTCTACAGAAAACCACTCAATTTCTACAGAAAATCTATATAATTTTTACAGAACATTACATAATATCTACAGAAAATCTTCATAATTTTTACAGAAAATCTACAATAAATTAAAAATTCTGCTGGTTTTAGAAAAAAAATTTGTAGAAACTTTATTGAATTTCTGTAGAAATCTTGTAGGATTTCCTGTAGAGATCTTGTAGGATTTCTTAGGAATCTTGTAGGATTTCTGTAAGAATCTTGTAGGATTTCTGTAGGAATTTGTAGGATTTCTGTAGATAATTATTGCTTCATAGTACCCCCATGGTTTGGTGCCTTCTTTTGATAATTACTTCTATACAGACAATTTCTCAAGAAAATTTCTACAGAAAATCTACATACTTTCTACAGAAAATCTACATAATTTCTACAGAAATTCTACATAATTTCTACAGAAAATCTACATAATTTCTACAGAAAATCTACATAATTTCTACAGAAATTCTACATAATTTTGACAAATTCTACATAATTTATACAGAAATTCTACAATATTTCTAAAATTACAAATTCTGCATTTCTTAGAAGAAATTTCTGTAGAAATTATGTAGATGTTCTGTAGAATTTTTGTAGAAAAATTGTAGAATTTATGGAGATTTTCTGTAGAAATTATTACCTTCCTTTGACGATTCTGTATAAACAAAATTTCTGAAGAAATTCTACAAAAAAATCAACAATTTCTACAAAAATTCTGCAGTTTTTAGAAGAAATTTTGAGAGGATTTCTGTAGAAATTCTGTTGAAGTTTCTGTAGGATTTTTAGGAAATTTTTGTAGTATTTGTTAGAAATTCTATAGGATTTTTGTGGGAAATTCTGTAGAATTTATGTGGGAAATTCTGTAGAATTTATGTGGGAAATTTTGTAGGATTTCTGTGGGAAATTCTGTAGGATTTCCGTGGGGAAATTCCATAGGATTTCCGTGGGGAAATTCCGTAGGATTTCCGCGGGGAAATTCTGTAGGATTTCCGTGGGAAAATTCCGTAGGATTTCCGTGGGGAAATTCTGTAGGATTTCCGTAGGGAAATTCTGTTTGATTCCTGTAGGATTACCGAAGGAAATTCTGGTGGATTCTTGTAGGAAATTCTGTTGGATGCCTTTAGGAAATTCTCTAAGAATTCTGTAGGATTTGTTAGAAATTCTATAGGATTTCTGTGGGAAATTCTGTAGGATTTCTATGGGAAATTCTGTAGGATTTCTATGGGAAATTCTGTAGGATTTCTATGGGAAATTCTGTAGGATTTCTATGGGAAATTCTGTAGGATTTGTGGGAAATTCTGTAGGATTTCTGTGGGAAATTCTGTTGGATTTCTGTGGGAAATTCTGTAGGGTTTCTGTGGGAAATCCTGTAGGATTTTGGTGGAGAAATTCTGTAGGATTTCTGTGGAGAAATTCTGTAGGATTTCTGTGGAGAAATTATGTAGGATTTCTGTAGGGAAAATCTGTAGGATTTGTAGGGAAATTCTGTTGGATTTCTGCGGGGAAATTCTGTAGGATTTCTGCGAGGAAATTCTGTAAGATTTCTGTGGGGAAATTCTGTAGGATTTCTGTGGGGAAATTCTGTAGGATTTTTGTGGGGAAATTCTGTAGGATTTCTGTGGGAAATTTTGTAGGATATGTGGGAAATTCTGTTGGATTTCTATGGGAAATTCTGTAGGATTTCTGTGGGGAAATTCCGTAGGATTTCCGTGGGGAAATTTCGTAGGATTTCCGTGGGGAAATTCCGTATGATTTCCGTGGGGAAATTCCGTAGGATTTCTGTTGGAAAATTCCGTGGGGAAAATGTTTGATTCCTGTAGGATTACTGAAGGAAATTCTGGTGGATTCCTGTAGGAAATTCTGTAGGATGCCCTTAGGAAATTCTCTAAGAATTCTGTAGGATTTGTTAGAAATTCTATAGGATTTCTGTGGGAAATTCTGTAGGATTTCTGTGGAAAATTCTGTAGGATTTCTGTGGGAAATTCTGTAGGATTTCTGTGGGAAATTCTGTAGGGTTTCTGTGGGAAATTCTGTAGGATTTCTGTGGGAAATTGTGTTGGATTTCTGTGGGAAATTCTGTAGGGTTTCTGTGGGAAATCCTGTAGGATTTGTGGGAAATTCTGTAGGATTTATGGGAAATTCTGTAGGATTTCTGTGGGGAAATTCAGTAGGATTTCTGGAGAAATTCTGTAGGATTTGTAGGGAAATTCTGTAGGATATTTGTTGAGAAATTCTGTAGGATTTTGGTGGAGAAATTCTGTAGGATTTCTGTGGAGAAATTCTGTAGGATTTCTGTGGAGAAATTCTGTAGGATTTCTGTAGGGAAAATCTGTAGGATTTGTGAGGAAATTCTGTAGGATTTCTGTGGGGGAATTCTGTAGGATTTTTGCGAGGAAATTTTGTAAGATTTCTGTGGGGAAATTCTGTAGGATTTCTGTGGGGAAAATCTGTAGGATTTGAGGGGAAATTCTGTAGGATTTCTGTAGAAATGCTTTAAGATTTCTGTAGAAATTTTTTAGGATTACTGAAGGAAATTCTGAAAAA